AGCAAAGTCATCAATTTTCTCAACTGAAATTGAAGTTTTTTTGTGGGGTCGGGAATGCAGATGAAAACACAGACATTCATAATTCAACAGCATCAACAATCTCTTCTTAAGATTTGGAAACATGCATTGTCGCTGAATATTGGCCTTATTCTTTGTTTCCATTTGGCAGAAGCATTCACCATGAAGAATATTGATTTATGATTATACCCTGCAGAGAGAGGGTAATATTTGCAGGCAATGCATTAGATTTTTGGAGGGAACAAGTATTTGGAGTGCTTCCGGCTCAGCCCCGTTTTTTACTACAGTGTCTGCTGAGCTGAGAAATGTGTCTGCCTGGATCTCCAGCTGCATTAGCAGGACTGAAGCAGAAGGGGATTCAGTGCGCCTTGAATCAGAGAAAGGAAGAGAAAAGGGCCTTTCTGTCGACGTCAAGATTACTAGGAAATTCTATCAAAGACGGAGTGCTCCAGACATATTATGAAAAAGGTCTTGAAATAGATGATGAGAGGAATTATAATTTTAAGAGGTTTTGAAGAAGAGAGAGAATTACAGTGGTACCTCGGGTTGCATACGCTTCAGGTTACAGACTCCACTAACCCAGAAATAGTTCTTCAGGTTAAGAACTTTGCTTCAGGATGAGAACAGAAATCTTGCTCCGGCGGCGCGGCGGCCGCAGGAAGCCCCATTAGCTAAAGTGGTGCTTCAGGTTAAGAACAGTTTCAGGTTAAGAACGGACCTCTGGAACAAATTAAGGCCTTAACCCAAAGTACCACTGTATAAATTTTTGACGGAGGCCCTTTAAAAGAAAAATATCTGCTTTAGATGGGAATTCCCTGAAGGGATTTCCTTTACTTATAAAGGCAAAAAAACAGAGGTGTGTAGATTTAGACAGAACTATGTGGGAAACAGATTCAAAAGAAAGGAAATTACCAAATGCTTTTTTCTTATATGGTGTCCAATCTTCCTTCCCATCAGGGCAAGAGGGTCTTTCAACAGTCAAAGCTTTCCCCAAAGGATCCTGGGAACTGTAGTTTGTTTAAGCATCCTCAGAGTTCGTAGGAGTCCCCTCCCCATATTTTCCTCACAGAGCTATAATTTCCAGAGTGGTCCTCTTTCCTTTTCTGCCCCTCTTTACTGAACAAGATCTCTTGCTGCTCTGTTGCTAGGTTCTGAGTCCGCAGAAGCAAGAAAAAATGAATCTCCCCGAGACAGAGGACGCTCTTCAAGACACTTGGCAGGGATTGCTCTTCCAGGATATCAAGCAAGAGGCCGATGATGGAGTTGCTACCTTCTCAGGCAAGGATCCTCTTTGCTTGATTGCCCTCTCATCCTATCCTGGGACTCCGCCCCCTCCAATTTGACCCCAAAGGATCAGTATTGACCACTTTGGGAAACTGTGCTCTAGAGATGGGGAACGCTAGACATTCTGCTGTTAATCACCATGATTACTGGTCATCTATAGATCTAATCTCCATGAATTTAGAGTCACACATACCCTGGTTGGTTGGTTTTAAAGCCGGAGGTTATTTAATTATTTGATGTATTTATTATCCCACCTTTCTACCACGGCAGCTTAGAGGTCAGTACAGTCAAACCTCGGCTCCTGAACGGCTCTGTTTTCAAACGTTTTGGCTTCCGAATGCCGAAAACCTGGGAGTAAATGCTCCGGTTTTCTAATGTTTTTCGGAAGCCAATCGTCCGACACGGCTTCCGCTTGAGTGCAGGAAGCTCTTGCAACCAATTGGAAGCCGTGCCTCAGTTGTCAGACGTTTCAAAAGCCAAATGGGCTTCCAGAATGGATTATGTTCAACAACCTGAGGTTTGACTGTATCAAATACAAAGGAATAAAACTATCTTGACAGGAAACAATAGTTAAAAGTACATTGAAACACATTTAAAACCAGGCTTAAGATGCAGTTTGCCCTGACAGCGGCCTAGTGGTCTGCATCGCCTGCACCTTGGTTTTCAAAAGCCTGGATTAATAGGAAGGCCTTAGGATAACAAATAGGAAAGCAGTTTAACATCTCCTGAGAGGTAATTCCACAATATGGGGGCTGCCGCAGAAAAGGCTCTGTGCTTCTGACAGAGAGAATGGTATCACCTGAGGAGCTCAGCACCCAGGCAAGTTCGTATAGGGAGATCTGATGTTTCAGGTGGGGCTTCCCAGCACTTTTCAAAGGCAGCCCCACCTAGAGCAGGTTACAGTAGTCTAACTGGGATGTAATTCAGGCATGTGGCACCGTCGCTGTTTCCATGCAGCTGCTCCTAGTGTGTAGCCAGAGCTTGCTTGCTTCCTTTCTCTGCCCCTCCACCTCTCTCCAAAAAAAAGACGCACATTGCAATTCTGTTTTTATTCTGGCAGGTGACGAGTGGATGTGTGGGAATGAGCCAAATCAGGCTGGAAACCCTGCGGAAGTGGAACCACATGCGATGCTACTGAGAGGAGCGGAACAGAATTTATCTTGGAGCCCCAATCTGGGAGATGAAGCCTCTGAGAGCCAGCAGGGAAACTGCCTAGCAGAAGAGGAGGACAACTTGATTGATCACCAGGGCAGGTACGAGGAACTGGAGGACAGAATATTCCAGCAGGGTCTCCCCGAGGATCAGCACGAAAAAGGACCCCTTGGGTGTGTAAAAGTCTTGCGGGAGACGTCTGATCTTCTGGCACATGGAATAATCCAAGCCAACAGGGCTCTGTTCAAATGCCCAGATTGTGGCCAAAACTTTAACAATAGATCGGTCCTCATTAAACATCAGAGGATCCACACGGGAGAGAAGCCTTTCACGTGCTCCGTTTGTGGGAAGGGCTTCCGCCAACACTCTCACCTTGTTAACCACGAGAGAATCCACACCGGAGAGAAACCGTACGGCTGCCCCAGCTGCGGGAAAAGCTTTGGTGACCCCTCGCACCTCATCAGGCACAAGAGGACCCACATGAGAGAGAGGCCGTACAAGTGCTTGGTGTGTGGAAAGAGTTTCTGCACAGGGAACGAGCTTCTCATGCATGAGAGAATCCACACGAGTGAGAAACCGTGCCAGTGCGCTGCCTGTGGGCAAAGCTTCACCAGGATGTCGGTCCTCATTAGTCACCAGAGGATGCATACAGGGGAGAAGCCGCACAAATGCTCCGAGTGCGAGAAGTGCTTCCAATACAATTCGCAGCTCGCAAAACATCAGAGAATCCACACAGGAGAGAAGCCCTACGAATGCTCAGAGTGTGGGAAGTGCTTCCGGCAGCATTCCCAGCTTGTGAACCACCAGGGCATCCACACGGGCGAGAAACCTTACAAATGCCCCGAGTGCGGGAAGTGCTTCCGGCAGCAGTCGCAACTTGTGAAACACCAGAGGATCCACACGGGAGAGAAGCCCTACAAGTGCGCGGAGTGCGGAAAATGCTTCCGGCAGCACTCTCAGCTCGGGAGCCACCAGAGAATCCACACAGGGGAGAGGCCATATGCGTGTTCGGATTGTGGGAGGGCCTTCAGCGACCCCTCTCACCTCAACAGACACAAAAGAACCCATACCGGAGAGAAACCTTGTGAGTGCTCTGTTTGCGGGAAGAGCTTTAGCACCAGTGCCTATCTTACGACTCACATGAGAATCCACACAGGAGAGAAACCGTATCAGTGCTCAGAGTGTGGGAAAAGCTTCAACCACAATTCAGGTCTCCTTGCCCATGAAAGAATCCACAGGGGAGAGAAGCCATATAAATGCCCGGAATGTGGCCAAAGCTTTAGCAGCAGATCAGTCCTCATTAAACATCAGAGAATCCACACGGGAGAGAAACCTTTCAAATGCTCCATTTGCGGGAAGGACTTCCGCCAGCACTCGCAGCTCATGAACCATGAGAGAACCCACACGGGGGAGAAACCCTTTAGCTGCCCCGACTGCGGGAAAAGCTTCGGAGACCCCTCGCACCTGATCAGGCACAAGAGGACCCACACACGAGACAGGCCATACAAATGCCTGGCCTGTGGGAAGAGCTTCTGCACAGGGAATGAGCTACTCGTGCACGAAAGGACCCACACGAGCGACAGGCCGTGTCGGTGCTCAGAATGCGGGAAGTGCTTCCGGAGGAGGTCAGCCCTTATCAGTCACCAGAGAATCCACACGGGAGAGAAGCCGTACAAATGCTCCGAGTGCGGGAAGTGCTTCCGAGAGCGCTCCCCGCTTGTGAAACACCAGAGAATCCACACAGGGGAGAAACCGTACACGTGTTTGGAGTGTGGGAAGTGCTTCCGTCAGCTCTCGCAGCTTGTGAACCACCGGAGAATCCACACGGGGGAGAGGCCGTTTGTTTGTCCCGAATGTGGGCGGAACTTCAGCGACCCCTCGCACCTCTTCAGGCACAAGAAAATCCACCTAGCACGAGAAACCTTGTAAAGGTTTGCATCGTCTGCCTTCTTCCTCATCCGAGAATCCAAATCATTGAGTTAGGAGAGAAACCGTATCAGCAATTGAGAGTGCAGGGTGAAAGCTTCAACCACGCTTATGGCTCCGCAGCAGAGAGAAACTGTACAAAGGCACAGATTGCAGGAAAAGCTTCCATGGTGGCTGACGGATCATCACACACAGGAAAGCAAAAACGGTGCAGAAACAAGATTATGGGGGCAGATTTTTTTAGCCAGGCTGAGCTAGTTTCTCACCAGAGCAGGACTGGTCTCAGAACTGTCCACCTCCAGCAAACACTTGAAAGGGCTGAAACGTACTTAGACCCACCAGCAACAAACGTGAGGCCCACCAGTCACAAGGTGCAAGGGCAGAGCCAGTCGCAAAATGGTGGCAGATCTGAGATGAAGTTCAGCACAAACAGCTGAAAATCACTGCTCCCTGATCTCTCTGTTTCTAAATTCTTTGCCTTAGCAATTTCCTCGTAACACAGAGTTCCACAGTTCGGCTTTCCTCAAGCTGTGAGCAGTATCATGGAAGTATCATGATAGCTTTGTTTTAGGCAGAGTTTTGCTCTGAGTGGAAAAGTCAAATTATTTTATGTTTCCTTTCTCTCCATGCATCTCTCACAAGTACTTTTATTCACCTCCTGCTATTTCTTCTCCTTTCCTCCCTTCACCGTTCCCTATGCCCACCCCAAGCTGCCAGTTTCTTTCATTCCTCCTATAACAGCTTTCTTCCTTCTTTCCTTTCATTGCTATTCTCAGGTGTGTGGGGATTTCTTACGGGAAGGGCGAAATATTATTATTGCTATTTGAAATATTAACCTTTGAATATGTGATTTCCCTCAATATTTCCTCTGGCCGGTTCCCTCCAGTGGAAGAAGATCTTCATTTCTTCCTGCTCCTCTAAATTTCTGTCTCCCAGGAAACTTGCAATAAAATTATGGTGCTGACATTGGTCCAACAGTTCGGGAACCAGGCAGGCGAGTGAGGAGAAAGCACTGGGCAGGTGATGGCGCTGAACTCCACCTGAGAGTGGATTGAGATTCCTGGCCCGCTGCTTTAAGAAATACGGTTTGCCCATGGGCAAAAGAAGCCTGATGGACTATTCCAAGTTTAATGAACACCTGTTTACACACAGAACATAGGAATAGCCTGCTGGATCAAGCCAGGGGCCCATTTAGTCCAGCATTCTGTTCTCACAGTGGCCAACCAGATGCCTCAATGGGAAGCTGGCTAGCAGGACTGATAAAACTGTCCCTAAATCAGTGGGTTCTGCTGATCGCAGAAGGCTGATCGCCGATAATTGATGCTTTTGAATTATGGTGCTGGAGAAGACTCTTGAGAGTCCCATGGACTGCAAGAAGATCAAACGCATCCATTCTTAAGGAAATCAGCCCTGAGTGCTCACTGGAAGGACAGATCGTGAAGCTGAGGCTCCAATACTTTGGCCACCTCATGAGAAGAGAAGACTCCCTGGAAAAGACCCTGATGTTAGGAAAGATGGAGGGCACAAGGAGAAGGGGACGACAGAGGACGAGATGGTTGGACAGTGTTCTCGAAGCTACCAGCATGAGTTTGACCAAACTGTGGGAGACAGTGGAAGACAGGAGTGCCTGGCGTGCTCTGGTCCAGGGGGTCACGAAGAGTCGGACACGACTAAACAACAACAACAACAACAACAAATCAGTGGGTGGCACTGTGGTCTAAACCACTGAGCCTCTTGAGCTTGCCAATCCATGACGGGGTGAGCTCCCGTTACTCTGCCCCAGCTCCTGCCAACCTAGCAGTTTGAAAGCACACCAGCGCGAGTAGATAAATAGGTACCACTGTGGCGGGAAGGTAAACGGCGTTTCCGTGCGCTCTGGCACTCATCACGGTGTCCTGTTTCACCAGAAGCTGCTTAGTCATGCTGGCCATATGGCTCAGAAAGCAGTCTGTGGACAAACACCGGCTCTCTTGGCCTGAAAGCGGAATTGAGTGCTGCACCCAAAGTTGAATTCGACTGGAGTTAACCAGAGGTCCTATACATTTACCCCAAATCAGCCATAAAGTTATAAGCTAAAAAGGTGTTGATTTTGGACTATTGCAGAATGATAGGGTGTGTGAAAGTAAGATGTTGAGACTGTAGCGGGTCAAAATTTTAATACCTTGGGGTTGGAAATATATTAAAATTTTGATCCACAACCGTCTCGGTATCGGCTTACTGGTGCTGATAGGTTTGTTCAGGGTGGTCACGCAGTATGAATACAGCAGCCACACAATCCCTGCTGGGTTCTAGAGCTCTTCCTCCAACAAGGATGAGCCCGACAGGCTGGATTGGACAGGAGGCCCAGCCAGCATCCTGCTTTCCCAGTGGCCAAACAGATGCCCAATGGAACCCCAAAAGCAGGACCTGCGTGTAATAGCACGATTCCCAGCAGCTGTTATCCAGAGGTAAACTACCTCTGACAGTGGAGGTAGAACTTAGCCAGCTTTATGCCCCATGAATTTGATTTAAAGCCATTGCATCCTGCAGCAGCGAGTTCCATAGTTGTGCTTGCCCTGAATCTTCTAACATTCTGCTTTGCTGGATGTCCCCGAGTTATTAAAATGTGTTCTGAGAATGTAAGAACAGCTGGATCAGGCCAAAGAGCCCACCTGGTCCAGCTTCCTTAATTCCTCCAAACATCCAGCCAGAGTCCTCTGGGTGGGCCGTAGCAGAGCATAAACGACACAGCCCTCCTATGCAACTGATACCCAGAGGTAGACTGGCCCTAGAGATGGAGTCTCCATTCGGCTGCCATGCCTTTGCTTAGGGTTGCCAAAAATTGTTTTAAACAACCCCCAGATTCAGGACAAAGCACCACCTTTCAGAAATTCACCCCGGACATTCTCCCACACATTAGTTATATGACTGCCACCTTTATTCTAGATTAATTTTTTACCATTTTTAAACAGGTGTGGGTAGAGACCTCAGTAAGCTCATGTCAGATTGGAGAATTGTTCCTTTCCCAGTCATGAGAGCACTGTGTTGGTGGTTCAGGAGGGAGATACTTCCAAGTGTGGTCCATGTTGAATTATTCCATATTTCTTAAGTTATGTATAATCCATGGAGAAATAAATATTTGCAGGGGGAGGGAATTGGCTTTCAGGTACTCAAAATTCTTCTAGAACTTTTGGGGGGAGTTTTGCTACCTGAATAAATTATCACCTTGCTTGGCATAACCTAGTCTGCAGTTTATTTCTATTTTGCAAAAAGATATGATAAATTATGGGGAGAAGGAAGGACATATGCAGGACCCTGTAGCTAGATTCCAGCTCTGGGATCTCTGATGGACCCTTACTGGGTTGTGTGATTTCAGCAAGCATCACCCACATTGTCTTTCAAGCACCTCTGAATCCACAAGGACTAGAAATTTGCATTTTAAAAAACTGAGTTCCTTAGGAGACTTGAGTTGTGTCTTTTCTCATATTCCCTTTTTGGTGTACCTACATTCACAGCCTGTGCAGAACTGTACTTATGGTTTAACACACCATCCACAAATTAAAAAAAATATTTTGGAAAGAGCAGCACAGATTTGTGTGTGTTTTCTTACTGCCTGTTTCGTAAGCTTTATTCCAGCCTTCCAGCTCCCAGCCAATTACCGTATTGTTCGCTCTATAAGACGCACCAGACCATAAGACGCACCTAGTTTTTGGAGGAGGAAAACAAGAAAAAATATATTCTGAATCTCAGAAGCCAGAACTAGAAGAGGTATCACTGCACAGCCAAAGCAGCGATCCCTCTTGCTGTTCTGGCTTCTGGGGTAGCTGCACAGCCTGCATTCACTCCATAAGACGCACACACATTTCTCCTTACTTTTTAGGAGGGAAAAAGTGAGTCTTGTAGAGCAAAAAATATGGTATATAACTCTTGATTTGTTTTCCTGCATTTTCTGTCTTGTCATTGAAGCTGCAGGCAGTGACAAACTACCCAGACCTGGTTCCAGCCTCCATTTTTCCTAATATATTTCCTAATATTTTTAAATCCTGAACTGGGATTTCTCCACACAGCAACATTTTATTGCAGAGCCCATTTGCCCCCCTCCCCTTTAACCAGATCACAAATGCACCAATTGGAGTTTGCTTTAGAAAGGAATTCATTCCAGTTCAAGTTTGACCCTTTACAAAACAAAGTTCACAGTTCATCTAAAAGAGGGTTTCCCAAACTTTGGTCTCTCTCCAGCTGTTTTTGGACTATAACTCCCATCATCTCTAGCTAGCAGAACCAGTAGTCAAGGATGGAAATTGTAGTCCATAAAAACAGCTGGAGACCCAAGTTTGGAAACCCTGATCCTTGGCAATCTCCCTCCAAAAGTACTCAGAAGTTTACATGCTGCTGTGCTGAAGTATAATATATACTAAGACTAATAAAACATTGGCACACACAAGAGTGGAATAGGAATTGTTTATTTTCCCCCAACAATTGCAATCTGTAAACTTAAAGGCCCAAAGGGTTGGATTTCTGAAAGAATGCCATGGGCCTCAGATTGTGACCTGACAGAAGATGGTCTGATGAACTAGAAATCACCCAAGATTTTTGAACTAATTCACTGAACACTGTTCAACCAATGCACTTAACCCTGACACATGGGAAGATGCCTGTTTTCCAGCTGTTTTCCTAGCCACTAGACATGCATATTTTTTTTTTGGGGGGGGGGTGTCAGAATTAGGCCAGACGAAACCAGTCTTCTTTCCCCAGCCCCCGGCCGCACACAATCGGTGTTTTGTGGTGTCAAGAAACGTCTCCTTCCCACTGACGTCTCTCCCAAAGCTCTGATTTCAACTTTTGAACTTCTTCTTGCGGGGGCCTGCTTGTCTCTTTGCCCTTTTGGTGCCTGCTTGCAAATCCACCTCCATGGGATCCCCTCTCTCTCCCCCCACGACACTTTTATCCGCCGCTGGCTCTGCCACCTCTCCGTCGCTGCTCCTTCCCTTGGCTGCTGGGTTTTTCTGCGGGAAAAGCTCAGGCGGGTACAAGTCGCTCATGCTGTCGTCCGTTCCGCTGCTCTCGCTGCTGGACGCGTGCTCCCAGGATCCCTTCCGATCGGACTGCCGGTGGATCCCTCCCGGTGGATCCTCCCGGGCGGCACGGGGCTTCCGGAGCAAGCAGGCGGGGACGTACTTCGTGCCCTCCTTCTCGCATTCTTCGTACCGTCTCAGCGCCTTCTGATAGCGCCGGCCTTGCACGTGGCGCAGGACGTGCGCCGGGATCCTGTTGATGTGGCGGAGGGTGAGCTTGCAGAAGAGCTGCGCGGGGTTTTTGGTGCTGGGCACGATGTGCGGCCCGTACTCGCCGTAGTCCAGCGCCCCGGCCGCCCGGACCAGCCGAGAGTACTTCTTGCCATTCGTGTAGGCCTGGAGCTCCGGCAGCCGGCAGGGCAGCTCGTGGCCGGTCAGGGCGCAGCGGACTCTGTCCCCCGCGGGCAGGAGGCGCAGCGCGGGATGCTCCCGCAAGAAGCGCCGCACCGCGTCTGCCGAACCCTCGCGCGCCGCCTCGCACATGGCCGCTGTGGGAGGGGCTACGGCGGCCGCGAGGGAAATAGGGAGCGGCGGCAGCCAATCAGGGCCGCCCAGGCTGCCGCTCCTAGAGAAGCGGGAAACGATGCAGGCCTGGCACCCGTCAACACTTCCGGCTCCCTGCCCTCACCTGCGCCATATGCGGGGCGAAAAGAGAGGGTTTATCACGAGGCGTCCTTCCCTCCTGGGTGCGTGAGGAGCTGGTTTCTCAATAATAATAATAATAATAATAATAATAATAATAATAATAATAATAATAATAATAATAATAATAATAATAATAATAATAATAATAATGATGATGATGATGATGTTTGGGTGACAACTACGTACAGGAATCTTGGAGAAAGAGACTTAAGCGGCGAAGGGGTTCCCTGTGTGTTTTGTTTATTGTCATTGATTAAATTTGTATACTGCCCTTTACCTGCAGGTCTCAGGGTAATTCACAATCTAAAATCACAATATAATAACAAAAAAATATAAAAATAAAAACAAAAATAATCCATTAACCCACCCACCCCATTTTGTGGCGGAAGCACCTCCTCAATCCTTTGTGTTTTAACTTTTTTCCTGGGTGGGATTTTTTTTTTTTAGTTTAAAGAAATATATTTTATTCTAGTTTTTTTTTAAAAAAAAATGCTGGTTTTTATATATATGCGTGTTTTTGCTTAAAATATTTTAAGTCACTTTGAACTGCTGTGTCAAAAAACGGCTAATAATTTTAATAAGTAATAAGAGGGACTGATAGTTAACCCCCTCTGAAAACCATAGATCTGTGAGAATGATAGAGATTACCCAACACGCACCTTTAACAAACAATTGGTTCCTAATATTCTTTAAATAGTCCCATGACTTAATGTTGCCCAACTGAGCATTTGGAGAGCATTTGCTTCCTTTTAATCTGGTATTCATGGTAGCAGACAGGGAAATGTGTGACTGGGGTGCATCAAAACACACTGCCTACAACGCATGTGCTTAAAAATGGGTCTGGGACTCAGTGAAATAAAATTCCTAATTGGCTGAATATCAGAAATCAAAAACTTTGTTTCCAGAAATGTGAGGCTGGATACCAGTAGTAAATAATATTCAATGATTTCCCGGGGCTGGAAATGTCTTCCTATATACATAAAAACGTAAGGCTGTCGTTACACTACAGTTCATATGACTGCCTCTCGGGGGACAAGCCATCTCCAACATAAAACAGAACAGCAGGCAGCTGAACGAACAAGCAGCGCAGATGCCAGACAGCTGTTTAAAGAAGAGTGGGAGGTGCACTGTGTTAAACACAGCTGCTGCCACCTTTAACAGCCAGGGAGGTGCTTCTGAGATCTATAGAATAGCGTATAAAATTGTAGAGCTGGAAGGGACCTCAGGGGTCATCAAGTCCAACCCTCTGCACTGCAGGAATCTCAGCTAAATCCACGACAGATGGCTATCCAACCTCTGCTTAAAAAACTTCAGGGAAGTCCACCACCTCCCAAGGTAGACTGTTTCCCTGTCAAACAACTTTTACCGTCAGGGAGTTCTTCCTGATGTTAGTCAGAATCTCCTTTCTTGTAACTTGAAGCTATTGCTTCAGATTTTACCCTCTGGAGCACGAGAAAACAGTATTGCTCCATCTTCCATGTGAGAGCCCTTGAGATATTTGAAGATGGTTATCATATTTCCTCTCAGTCTTGTCTTAACCAAACTAAACATACCCAACTTCCTCAACTGTTCTTCACAAGGCTTGTTTTCCTGTTGTTTCTACTAAGAGCTCCTGAAGGAGTTTTAAACACCAAAGCCCACAGAGCAAGCTGCAATGAAGAATTTTGCTTCACTGGACACCAGAGCTTGCCTCCCCTTCCCACTTTTTTTGTCCTGTCCTTTTAAGGTGTTTTGCCTCAGCCCCCATTCTGCTGCATACTCAAACCTCCAGACTGGATTATTGTAACTCGCTCTACGTGGGGCTGCCCTTGAGACTGACCCAGAAACTCCAGCGGGTGCAGAATGCCACGGCGAGACTCCTTATGGGGTCTTCGCTGCGAGATCACATTCACCCGGTGCTATACCAGCTGCACTGGCTCCCGGTGGAGTACAGGATCAGGTTTAAGGTGCTGGTTTTAACCTTTAAAGCCCTATACGGCTTAGGACCCTCGTACCTACGGGACCGCCTCTCCTGGTATGCCCCACAGAGGAACCTACGGTCTGCAAATGAAAACACCCTGAAGGTCCCAGGCCACAGAGAGGTTAGGCTGGCCTCAACTAGAGCCAGGGCTTTCTCGGCTGCGGCTCCAATCTGGTGGAACGCTCTGTCACAAGAGACTAGGGCCCTGCAGGACCTGACATCTTTCCGCAGGGCCTGCAAGACAGAGTTGTTCCACCAGGCCTTTGGTCAGGGCGCAGCCTGACTCCCTCCTCTGGCAACCTGCACAGAATTTTGCTTAACGGTTGCCATTAATTTGATTTTAATTAATTTTTATAATGAAATGTTTTTAGAATGTTGGATTATTTGATTGTTTGATTATTTGATTGTTGTTAGCCGCCCTAAGCCCGGCTTCAGCTGGGGAGGGTGGGATATAATTAAAATTTATTATTATTATTATTAGAGGCAAAACAAGATGTAATATGCATCCCTTTTAAAACAAGATCTTTTTATTTTTAATTTCCAGATTTCCTTAGTTTCAGAAGCTGCAGTCTTTGCCTATAGATACCAGGCTGCTTTGTAACTGATCCAGCACACATTCAAACTGAGGCACTTGCACCGAGGCCACCTGCGCACAATCCATTTATAATGCACTTTCAAAAATCATGGCTTCCCTCCAAAGACTTCTGGGAGTTGCGGTTTGCTAAGGGTGCTGAGAGTTGATAGGAGACTCCACTATTCCCCTTCCAGAGTTACTATTCCCATAGTTATTATTACTATTTATTAAATTTGTACATCTGGGCGTGGAGCAACAAACTACAGCTCCCAGAATTGTTGTTGGGAAGCCATGACACTTCAAAGTGGTATCATGGTGTCTTAAAATGTGTGGCGTAAATATGGCCAAAGTTCTGAAACTTAACAATTATGACTTGGGGGGGAAATGGGCTGCTAGAACTTCCTGGGGGTTCGAGGAAAGGTGGAACCAGGGATGGGGGGATGGCCTGCTGCGAGTACACTTAATGTTGCTGAACTACAATTCGGCTAAGGGGGGTTCAAATGGATAAGCGGTCTGAGGGGATGTGGCAGGTTTGTAAGAAACAGCTTCTACCCCAATACAGTGGTACCTCGGGTTAAGTACTTAATTTGTTCTGGAGGTCCGTTCTTAACCTGAAACTGTTCTTAACCTGAAGCACCACTTTACCTAATGGGGACTCCTGCTGCCGCCGCGCCACCAGAGCACGATTTCTGTTCTCATCCTGAAGCAAAGTTTTAACCCGAGGTACTATTTCTGCGTTAGCAGAGTCTGTAACCTGAAGCGTCTGTAACCTGAAGCGTATGTAACCCGAGTTACCACAGTACAAGAATTTGTATTTCATTGACACAATGACCCTCTGGGTCTGTGTTGGACTCCAACTCCCCGGCCAGCATGGTCAGTGGTGAGGGAGGAAGGGAGTTGTAGGGAGTTGTATCTGGAGGTCCACAGGTTCCCTTCCCCTGCTGTTATGTGACTTCCTTCTCGGAAGCCTCCTCCTTTAGAACGGCTGTTGAACTGGAGTTTCCCTGCAACTGGGGCTGCCCCAGAGAATCTCCCCCATGTGGGTTTCTTCCTGTTTAATGAGCTGGGCTGGAGCTGGAAAGCTCTCCGGAAGCGGCTTCTTGCCTGTGTGGGTCAATTTGTGCCGCCGGAAGGACGTCCCGTCTCTGTAGCACCTCCCGCAGTCCGAGCACTGATAGGGCTTCTCCCCGGTGTGGATCCTCCGATGCCTCCGCAAGGACGTCCGGGTGCCGAAGCATTTGGCGCACTCGGCACATTCGTAGGGCTTCTCCCCCGTGTGGGTCTGCCAGTGGATGACCAGGTTGGTCCTCTGGCTGAAGCTGCGCCCGCACTCCGAGCACCCAAAGGCCTTCCCGGCTCCCGCGCGCTTCAGGGCGCACTTGGTGAGCGAGCCTTCGCTGCACCCTCGGCCCTCGCGCCCCTCCCTCGCGCACACCGGCGATTCCTGTGCGGCCGCTTCCCCTTCGCCAGGGGAGCCTCTCTGGTCCTGCTGCTGCTCGCGCCGTTCCCTCACGTGCGTTATGCCGTGCCGGAAAAGGTACTGCGCCTTGCTGAAGCCTTGCGCGCAGACCGAGCACGTGTACGGCTTGTCGCTCGGGTGGCCCTCTTCGTGCTTCAGGAGCTCCTCTAGGCTCTGGAAGCCCTTCCCGCAGTCGGCGCACTTGTGGGCTTTGGTGCGCATTTGGGCCGCGATGTGCCTCCTGGCGGCCGTCCAGTCGCTGAAGCGGCGGCCGCACTCGGTGCACTCGTAGGGCTTCTCTCCCGTGTGGATCCTCTCGTGCCTCTTGAAGGAGGTCCTGTCGCTGAAGCTCCTTCCGCACTCGGCGCACTGGAAGGGCCTCTCCCCCGTGTGGGTCCTTCGGTGGCCGCTGAGGTGCGCCTGCTGGCTGAAGCACTTCCCGCAGTCGGAGCAGGCAAACGGCTTCTCTCCCGTGTGCGTCCTTTCATGGATGATGAGCTTCCCTCGGCTGGCCAGCCTTTTCCCGCACACCAAGCACTGGTGCGTCCTCCGTCCCGGAAGACTCGCTTGGTTCGGGACAAGGAGGTCAGGATTCTGCATGAAGGCCTTCATGCTTTCGAAAGCTCCCTCGCTCTGGAAGATTCCCAGCTGGGCCAAATAATCCTCAGGCTTGCCATAATCTTCCAGGCAATTAAGGAACTGGACTTGGCTTTCATGTGAGCGGCTCCCTAGTTGCCCCTTGGCGTCTCCTGCCCATGTGCTACCGAGCGCATCTTCTGGCTCAGCTCTTCTCAACAAAGCCTCACCGCACAGTTCCACGTCTCTAGAACTTTCCGGCCCATTCGTCTGCTTCTCATACCCCTTCTCAACCCCTGCCGGAAGAAGCAGAGAATTGTGACATAAGATTTTTGTTGGTTTTTAAAATCTTCTGTCTGGTTTTTTTAAAATGCTGCGTGGTGTTTTGTTTTAATTCTGCTGATAGCTTAGCATAGTGTGTGTGTGTGTGTGTGTGTGTGTGTGTGTGTGTGTGTGTGGTTTTCGTGTGGTTTGGACTTTCTGTAAGCTACTCTGGGAACCTACTAAAGGGCAGCGTGTAAATCAAGTAAGAGTGAATATAAATAAATACCCAAAGAACTCCTTCCTCTTGATCTCTCCTCTCTTTCAGCAGCTCCCTGGACAAATGTCTCACTTTCTTCTTCCTCTTCATCCAGCCAGGAGACGAATTCGGGTTTGAGAAGCCAAAGTCCTTCAGAGGAAACAAAACGAAAAACCACCAGCACAACCTTTTTACTTTTGTGACTTCTCGAAAAGGGCTCCACTCAACCTTACTGGCCCTCTTCAGACACCAGAGAAGTGGCTAGGCTCTTCCACAGGAAAGCTGCCTGATGCATGGGTCCATCTATCTCAGTATTGTCTTCACTGACTGGCAGCAGCTATCTGGGGAATCAGGCAAGGAGCCTTTCCTAATCCTGCCTGGAGGGGCCAGGGATTGAAACTGAGACTTTGTGCTCAGCCACAGAGCTGCGACTCTTCCCCACTTTGCCATGTCCGCCCTCAAACGTGGAGCTGACCCCGGCCGCTCTCCCCTAAACATTTAAAGAATTCTTATATCCCTTCAGCTGCCCACAGCTTCTGCACCCAAAACATCCTGGGGACTGTGGTTGGTTAAGGGTGCTGAGAGCTGACAGCAGACCCCTGTTCTCCTCACAAAGTGACAATTCCCAGACTGGTTTAACAATCAAGCCCTCTTCCCAGGGAATTATGGGACTTTTACCTCTGCGAAGGGAATAGGGGCCTCCTAATAACTCTTAGCACCCTTAATAAACTACAGCTCCCAGAATTCTTTGGGGGCAGCCATGACTCTTTAAAGTGCTATCATAGAGCTTTAACTATGAAAGTGTCATCTGTGGGGTCAGGTGGATTATGAATCTCCTGCCCCCAGCAGGGAAGGTGTTGAAATTCAGCTGCCAAAAACATATTGAGATGAACCAAACCAATACTCATATTTTTCTGCTTTTTGAACAGCGTCCTTACCCAGGGAGACCACATTCCCGTAATTCTCCAGCATAACTTCCCTGTACAGGGCTTTTTGGCCGGCATCCAAGAGACTCCACTCGGCGCTCGAGAAATACACAGCCACCTCTTCAAAAGTCACCTGCTCCTGAAAGGAGAAAGCACTGTCAACTTCTCAGCAATGTGATTTCTCATTTGCTCACAGTTCTTACCCAGCGAGGGCTGTGCCACTGTTTGCAGGGAGCGTAGGAAAAAGCATGGGATGTGGAGCTGAGCAAAGAATGCAGCTTCCGCGCTTGTTTAAGGCTCTAGTCCTCATGGACACCAGTCTTGAAAGACCTACATTGGCTCCCAGTACATTTCCAAGCACAATTCAAAGTGTTGGTGCTGACCTTTAAAGCCCTAAATGGGCTCGGTCCAGTATACCTGAAGGAGCGTCTCCACCCCTATCGTTCTGCTCGGACACTGAGGTCCAGTGCTGAGGACTTTCTGGTGGTTCCCTCACTGCCAGAAGTGAAGTTACAGGGAACCAGGCAGAGGGCCTTCTCGGTAGTGGCGCCCTCCCTGTGGAATGCCCTCCCACCAGATGTCAAAGAGAACAACAACTACCAGACTTTTAGAAGACATCTGAAGGCAGCCCTGTTTAGGGAAGCTTTTAATGTTTGATGCATTCTTGTATTTTAATGTCTTGTTGGAAGCCACCCAGAGTGGCTGGGGAAGCCCAGCCAGGTGGGCGGGTATAAATAAAATTAAATTATTATTATCATTATTATTATTAGTGCAAAGATCCGCTAGAAAGCAGGCGGAGCTACAGTTCCCAGAGTTCCCTGTGAAGAGGGGTTGCATGTTAAACCGCTCAGGGAATTGTGTCTCTGTGATGGAGATAAGGGTCCCCAAACAATTCTTCTTCTTATTTTTTAAATAATACTTTTTATTAGTTTTCAATTGCAATCCAATAACAGCCTCATTATAATAATGCCCGTTTACAATACAATTACCAATACCAATCATTCAAATACTGAATTATATAATTTAGATAAAGTGCCCCCCCACATGCTAGAATTGATGGTTGATGAGTTTCTTGATTTCTGCGTTCCAAAATCTTATTAATTTCAATTACATTCCGGTCATAATAATAATCCCATTATACAACAACTGCAATATTAATAACTTCTATTCGTCTTGACACATTAAATTAAGTGAAGCGCTCAAACTATAACCTTGTTCTTCCTGTGTGTGGAAATTATTCTGTCCATGTTATTTCTTCCTGTCCTGGTAAAATATTACGTCTATTTCCCCCCCAGTTGTTGCTGTTCTCCATCATGCCTTGGGCAAAGCTGATATTCCATTGTAGTTCCAGAAATTTCTCCCTTGCTGTGTCCCGTGCTTTGTTGTTTTGCAACTTTAACAACAGCTGCAAAAGTCTCTCTGTCCCAATAAATAACCTGTTTTCGCCATTTTCCCTCTCACCCTGGGAAGAAGAGCTGTCTGTCAAACTGCAGATAACTCAGTAATGAACCTTATCAGTTCCTTGGCAAGTTGACAGACTCCTTTCATCCTACCATCCCTGGGAAGTGTTTTTTTGGTTTTTTTTTAGGATGCCCAGAACTGCTCCCTAACAATTCTGGGCATCCTAAAAAACAACCCACTTTCCATGATTCTTTGGGTGAATTCATGACTGTCTAAAGTGGTGTCACAGCGCTTCAGAGGTAGGGCTCAAATGTCACCTAAGAATGCTCATTCCTCTATGGGAATTTTTGGAGATTTTCCCCTTTCAAGGTTTTCCGGACCCCCTTATACAGCGGTACCTTGGGTTAAGAACTTAATTCGTTCTGGAGGTCCGTTCTTAACCTGAAACTGTTCTTAACCTGAAGCACCACTTTAGCTAATGCCGCCTCCCGCTGCCGCTGTGCTGCCGTAGCACAATTTCTGTTCTCACCCTGAAGCAAAGTTCTTAACCCGAGGTACTATTTCTGGGTTAACGGAGTCTGTAACCTGAAGTCTGTAACCTGAAGCGTCTGTAACCCGAGGTACCACTGTAAAGCCTTTTTGTACTTCTGCAGATAGACTGGGGTTCCCTAAGCCTGCTGTTGCTTCCCCCTTGTGGGTGGTGCTGTTTTGGCTACTTAAGGAACGGCACCCACCGCCCAAAAATCGAGGAAAAAAGGAACGGCGCAACAGTGGTCAGCAAGCACCTACCTTCTCAACCCCTTCAGATTGCTTGCAGCAAACCGTTCTTACCTCTTCTTCTTGCTCCTCACTGCTTCTTTCCCTCGGGAGGAAATTGTCAGCCGCCGCTCGCGAGCCACCCTCTGGCCCAATCGCCCTGACCCAGCTCTGCATTTCTGGGGGCAAAGCCCTCAGGAACTCCTCCAGGGCCACCAGGTCCAAAATCTGCTCCTTGCCGTGTCTCTCCGGCTTCAGCCACCGGCAGCACAGCTCCCAGAGCTGCCGGCAAACTTGCCGCGGCCACTCGGCTTCGTGGTGGCTAAATGGCCGGATATATTGATGCCACATGTTGGAGACGCTGCTGGTCCCATTTGGGGTATCTTCCCCGCTTCTCCTCTCAAGGCCCCACATGCTCCCGGCTTGAAGAATGCAAGGACCCGCAGCCCTGCCGGCAAGGTAGCTGGCCTGCTCCTCTTCCGCCATTTTCGCCCCCACCTTCGGATCTGCCGGCAACTGGAAGCTCGGGGTGTTGGCGCTGCCTTGCTCAGTGGCCATTTTGCGTCTCAGGCCAAGCCGGGCGTCTGCGACCAAGGTGACCATTCGTCCAATGTTGACTTTTGGAAGGGTAGTTGGGCACCTCAAAACAACAGACACCGCAGGCCAAAGAGGCCCAAATTTGTTCCTGGTGAGCTTCTCCCTAAGGGAAGGAAGCAGCACCATTAAAAAGGTTAGGAGAGACTAGAAACGTTTTTATTTATTTTTAATTTCTATACCGCTTTATATTTTTAAGAAAAATCTCAAAGCAGTTTAAAGGTAAAGGGTAAAGGGACCCCTGACCATTAGGTCCAGTCGTGGCCGACTCTGGGGTTGCGGCGCTCATCTCGCTTTACTGGCCGAGGGAGCCGGCGTACAGCTTCCGGGTCATGTGGCCAGCATGACTAAGCCGCTTCTGGCGAACCAGAGCAGCGCAAGGAAACGCCGTTTACCTTCCCGCCAGAGCGGTACCTATTTATCTACTTGCACTTTGACGTGCTTTCGAACTGCTAGGTTGGCAGGAGCAGGGACTGAGCAACGGGAGCTCACCCCGTCGACATTCTGATCGGCAAGTCCTAGGCTCTGTGGTTTAACCCACAGCGCCACCTGCGTCCCTTACTGCTTTATTTTAAAATCTGCATTTACTGTTGTTTTGAACATGCATTTTACATTTGACTTCCTTTAGTAATGTTTTCTTTTGAAATGCTTCCAATTTATTTTCTGTTGTTATCTTTGCTGCATTAAATGTGCATTCTGGAGCTGGCCTCCTTTCCAATGTTTTATTTTGATATCCTTAAGGTATTTTACTTTCTTCAGCAACGTTTTATCCTGGATTGTTCTATCTGAGGTTTGATGACAACCGAGCGGTCTATAAACTTTTTGAAATTTAAATTAAATTAACTGGTCACTTATTCTTCAGAACAGCCTTCCCTAAGCTCCAGATGCCCTCCAGATGTTTCGGACTGGCACTGGCTGGAGTTGTACCTCCAAAACTTCTGGAGGGCATCATATTGGAGCTACAGATCCCCCCAGCCCCACGAAGCAGGGCTGCTGGGAGTTGTAGTTCAAAGCGTCTGCCGGGCACCAGGTTGGCAAAGGCTGGCATTAGCTTTTGTGGATTGCAGTCCACTCCCTCTGGTGCATGAAGTGTTATTTTGTCATTATTATTATTATTATTATTATTATTATCTGTTACATCCTTGGCTACCCCCCTGCACTGCCCCAGCTTTGGGGTCGCAGCACGTTAAAGCCCTATACTGCGCCTGGATGAAAACGGGGCTGGCGAATCCCTCCCCTAAAACTCGGGTTTTTTATTTTTATTTTTGCAAACGCCTTTTCTTCCAACCGCCTCCCGCTCCTCTTTCATTAGAACCATTGCTTTGTTCATCGCCTTCCAAAACCACGATCTGCACATAATTGAAAGCAGCTGGAAACATGAAAATAATAAGAATATATGCATGCAAAAATCCCTCCAGCCCCAGATCTTTTGCTCTCTCGCCTCCCTGGACTTTTCCCAGGAGCTTTGTTTGAAATCCCTCCCTCTGCGATTGCAACACGCCTTGCACTCACCAAGGAGCTTCTTGCAAAAGGTGGAGGGGCGAGCAGGAGGCATCAAGGGGGCAACGTGCCCCCCAACCCTCTTGCTGGGCTGCTACTTGGGGGGCAAAGGACCCTTGCCGGTGCCCCCCAACCCCACGCCCCCTATGGCCGGCAGGATAGGAAGTGATGTCCTCGGTTCCTCTCCCTCCCCTTCCTCCCAGGCAGTTCTGGGAAACAGGAATCTGTCGCCTTAACCCCGAGAAAGTCATTTCCACCCCCAACTCCTCCCACCCCCCCAAAAAAAACCCCAACCCTGCTGGATAGGACCCAAAAGGCTCGCCTCTCCTTAAAAAGCCCAACCTCCTCTTCTGACAGTGACCAGCCAGAAGATTGCAAGCGCAGGAGCCGCCTCCTTTTTCTGTTGCAAGGATTTAGAGATAGACTGCCACTGGCACTGGAGGCTCCATTTAGCCCTAAAAAAAGGGGGGGTCGCTAGCTGTTGTAAAATCCTGGCAAACGACATCTCCGGCCAGCTCCTGGTCGAATTCAGACGGTCGTGACGCGTACATTTTATGCTCTTGTTTTTATAATATTGGCATTTTAGTGATTTTCGTGCAAAGAATGTGCTATAGGGCGGGGGGGGGATGGAGGAGGAGGAAGATAAGGAGATAAACAACTATATCAGCTTTGGAGGACATCTGAAGCATAGCTGTCAACCTTCCCTTTTTTTGCGGGTATTCCCTTATTCCAGCGCCGTTTCCCGCTGCTATCCCGGATTATTAGATATCCCATAGACTGTCCCCGGGAAAGGTGAGGCTGCTGATCCCTTATTTTTGAGGCTGCTGATCCCTTATTTTTGAGGCTGCTGATCCCTTATTTTCAAATCTGAAAGTTGACAGCTGAAGGCAGCCCTGTATGGGGAAGTTTTAAAATGTGTGTTGTGCAATGTTTTACAGTGGTACCTTGGTTTGCATACCTCTTGGTTTGCATACGTTTTGGATTACAAACATGTCAAACCCAGAAGTGCGTGTCCCGGTTTGCAACTTTTTTTGGATTACACCCCCCCTTTTTTTAAAATTATAAACAATTTTTTTTGAGGTCCCATTGGGTCACAACCTGTTTTGGTTTACAAACAGACCTCCGGAATGGATTATGGTTGTAAACCAAGGTACCAGTGTATTATGTTTTTATATACATTGGGAGCCGCCCAGACTGGCTGGGGCAACCCAGGCGGATGGGTAGGGTACAAATAATAAAATTGTTATTTATTGTCTGTAAGATGCCAGGGAAGAAGGTGCAGTATAAATAAATTAATAATAATAATAATAATAATAATAATAATAATAATAATAATAATAATAATATTCTTGGCATCCAGCTGTGGCTGTAGAGACTGATAGGGGATAGACATGTTTTGTTGCAGCTGGGGCAGAGGAAGGCGTCCAGTTGTGCTGCTGCAGAAGCACTGCAACATTTCTTCTCTCCGCACTCCTCCCACCAGCCATTCCTCCTCTAGTCACCGTTATGGAGACACAACCTCACTGTCTGTTTCCAGTCACATCCATTCAAGAAAGCGACTGGGGTTTGTTCAATTTGGCACATCTCTGCACCAAAAGGAAAGCGTCCCGGTCCTTATCTGAGAGGCGTTGTTTGCAGGTGACACAGCCTTGACAGTGCACTATAAGGGAGCCCTACTGAGACTCATCATAATAATAGTAAGGATAGTCTAACGCAGTGGTGGCAGCAGGCCTGGTGCCCTCCAGGCGTTGCAGCTTCAACTCCCATCAGCCCCAGGGGTGTAGTCCAGACACCTTGAGTAATCCTACTCTTTATAAGTTGCACTGAGTCTTCTCTGTGGTGGCCCCCCCCCAAGTGATGGATTGCTCCTCCATCCAGGATCTTTTTGGTTCCAAGTGGATCTCAACTAGATCTGGAAGGTTCCACAATGATTACCCCAACTCTAACCACTGCAAACAAACCACCACAGTATTAAGAGTTTACAATGATAAATACACTTTTCAAAGTAATAATAATAATAATAATAATAATAATAATAATAATAATAATAATGTATTATTTGTACCCCACCCAACTGGCTGGGTTTCCTCAGCCACTCTGGGCGGCTTCCAACAAAGAATAAATTAAAATATCACACATTAAAAACTTCCCTAAACAGGGCTGCCTTCAGATCTCTTCTAAATGTCAGGTAGTTGTTTATCTCTTTGACATCTGATGGGAGGGCGTTCCACAGGGCGGGCGCCACTACCGAGAAGGCCCTCTGCCTGGTTCCCTGTAGCTTTGCTTCTCGCAGTGAGGGAACTCAGTGTCCAGGCAGAACGATGGGGGTGGAGACGCTCCTTCAGGTATACTGGGCCAAGGCCAAGTATATCATGTCCAAGCCATACACATTTTTTAAGAACTCCTTTTTATTTGTTATAATCAGTGTTTCTTACATGTCCATAAAAACATTTTCTCTAAAATTCTTGGATTGGGGAAAAATACCCAAACAAACCAAATCTGATAATCATAGAACCCCTAAACTACCTAGGAACGAAAAAAATCTATTAGCTATATGAGTCATACGTCTTTCTAATGACAAATTTCCCTATCCTAGGGCAAAGCTAATCCCAAAACATGGAGCCACTCCTGGAAGAACTGCTGACACAGAGGCTGGGCAGTGGGGGAGAAGAGAAATCTTAAATTTAAAACTCTGCATATATACAAATCCGCATTCGTCAGCATCGCGTTTCATACTCTTCGCCCTTCAAACCCACCTCCCTCCCGCTAGAAGTGGCAAGGAACGTGTACATGCTACAGAGTTATACCCTACAAACTTAAAACCTACTAGAAACTTCGGCCTGTACCCCTAACGGCTACTAAGCTACTACTAGGGTTTCGTTCCCCTTGCTAAATGACATGTGTCAAAGGGGCAGTGGAATTGTGAACAGCATGCCACTCTGGCTGCCGTTTGCTTGAGGACTAGTCTCTTTGACAGGGCTGCGGAAGCTGCGGCCTTCCAGGTTTTTGCTGGAATATGACTCCCATCACCCCTCCAGCTCTGTGTACTTTCCCACCACCTCGCAAGAAAAGAGGGCCTTTCCTGAGTGGAGAGTCACAGGTGCTCAGCGGTCAGCAAAGCTTTCCACTTCTCCAGAAATCAGGCTGGAAGTTAAGCAGAGCAGAGGGCAGGAGGGAAAGGGCAGTGAGGGACCACTTAAGATGCTGTAGCCGTGAGGTCTGCATTAAGTCACACGGCCTGGCCACACCTCGGCTTAATGTGGACTGTGAATCGATTGCTCATCCTTTAATGATCCATGCAACTGTCACCTCCAGGCTTGATTATTGTAACTCGCTCTACGCAGGGCTGTCCTTGAAGCTGACCCAGAAACTTCAGCAGGTGCAGAATGCCATGGCGAGGCTCATTACGGGGTCCTTGCCGCGGGATCACATTCATTCAGTGCTTTACCAACTGCACTGGCTCCTGGTGAAGTACAGGGTCAGGTTTAAGGTGCTGGTTTTGACCTTTAAAGCCTTATGTGGCCTAGGACCCACGTACCAACGGGACCACCTCTCCTGGTATGCCCCACGGAGGACCTTCAGGTCCACAAATGACAACATTCTGGAGGTCCCGAGCCTCAAGGAGGTTAGATTGGTTTCAACTAGGGCCAGGGTCTTTTCAGCACTGGCTCCGACGTGGTGGAACGCTCTGTCACAAGAGACTAGGGCCCTACGGGACTTGACATCTTTCTGCAGGGCCGGCAAGACAGAGCTGTTCCACCTGGCCTTTGGTTTGGACTCGGTCTGACCCTTATGTTTCCCTCCCCTTATGGCCTTGATTTATCAGCTACTTTAAAATGAGGCTGCATTTTAAATTGCATTTTAACCTGTATTTTAAATTGGTTCCCCCCCTTTTCCTTTCCCCCAACCTCTCTTTTTCCCCTATTATGTTTTTACTGTGATTTTATTGGTGTTAGCTGCCCTGAGCCGGCTCTGGCCGGGGGGAGGGCAGGGTATAAATAAAATGTAGTATTATTATTATTATTATTATTATTATTATTATTATTATTATTCCCACCTCGTCCATGTGGTGTTCTCCTCCAAAGGCTGCTGTCTCACAATTTCTCTTCCCTAACCCCAGAGATTCCCTGCACATTTGCTGCGGCTCTCCTATTCGGATGTTCAAAGCATGTGACTTTGCGGCTAGACAGTGACCAAGCCGGCGATTCCCTCCCTCCCTCCCTCTCCCTCCCGCTTTGCTTAATGTCCAGCCTGATGGAAGAGTTCTGTGGCCCTTGAGAATGGCTTGCATTTTCCTGACGTCTTGGTCAGCCCTGATAAAGCTATTTATTGCCTGGTTGTGGACATGAGATGCTTTCTAGGTTTTCCCACGCAGACATTTTGGCATGTGGTTCAAAGGCAGAAAGATGCATTTTAAAGAGTCTGGGCGTAATCAGGGTGGGTCGTAAGGCAACTACAGCCACATTCACACCTCTGCCGGATTCAAGTTACAAAAAAAGAGACTCCGACTAAACACCAGGAAGAACTTGTTGACAGTAACATCTGCTTGACAGCGAAACAGTCCCCCGGGAGGTTATGGCCTCTCTTCCTTGGAGGTTTTTGAGCAGAGTTTGAATGGCCATCTATCATGGATGCTTTAGCTGAGATTTCTACATTGCAGGGGGTTGAACTAGACGACCCACAGGACCAACTCTATGGTTCTATAAACAGTCATGGTTTCCCCCAAAGAATCATGGGAACTGTGGTTTGCTAAGGGTGCTGAGAGGCCTCTATTCCCATCGCAGAGTTACGACTCCCTGAGTGGTTTGATATTAAGCAGAGGGCCTTCTCGGTAGTGGCGCCCGCCCTGTGAAACGCCCACCCATCAGATGTCAAGGAAATAAACAACTCTCAGACGTTTAGAAGACATCTGAAGGCAGCCCTGTTTAGAGAAGTTTTTTATGTTATATGTTTTTAATGTTCTGTTGGGAGCCACCCAGAGTAGCTGGGGAAACCCAGCCAGATGGGCGGGTATAAATATTATTATTATTATTATTATTATTATTATTATTATTATTATTCCCTCTTCACAGGGAGCTCTGGAAATTGTGGCTCTGTGAAAGGAAGAGAGGTCTCGCCTAACAACTCTGAGCACCTTTAACAGAACACAGCTCCCAGAATCCTTTGGGGGAAGCCATGACTGTTTAAAGCGGTACCACAGCACGTTAAATGTACAGTGGTACCTTGGGTTACAGACGCTTCAGGTTACAGACTCTGCTAACCCAGAAATAGTACCTCGGGTTAAGAACTTTGCTTCAGGATGAGAACAGAAATTGTGCTCCTGCGGTGTGGCGGCAGCAGGAGGCCCCATTAGCTAAAGTGGTGCTTCAGGTTAAGAACAGTTTCAGGTTAAGAACAGACCTCCAGAATGTATTAAGTACTTAACCTGAGGTACCACTGGACGTGTGAGTGGGGTACATGTGTGCATCAAAATGTCATTTTCCTAGACAGTATGGAACTGTGAAACTCCAGTTTGTGTGTTGTTCCCCCGCCCTTTTCTAACACTTCCCCTCTTGGTGGGTGCTCTGATGCCGCACGAGAAGCGAGCGGTCGCTGAAGATCTTCCCGCAGTCCGAGCACCTGTAGGGCTTCTCCCCGGTGTGGATCCTCATGTGGACCCTGAGGTTTGAGTTGCCGCCGAAGCTCTTCCCGCAGTCTGTGCACGTGTAGGGCTTCTCTCTCGTGTGGGTCCTCTCGTGCACCAGGAGGCCCGAGCTCTGGCTGAAGCTCTTGCCGCAGTCCCTGCACTTGTAGGGCTTCTCTCCCGTGTGGATCCGTTGGTGCCGGATGAGCACCGGCCTCTCCCGGAAGCTCTTCCCGCAGTCCGTGCACTTGTAGGGCCTCTCGCCGGTGTGGGTCCTCCGGTGGACTATCAGGTTGGAGTTGTCGCAGAAGCTCTTGCCGCAGTCCGAGCACTGGTACGGCTTCTCGCCCGTGTGGATCCTCTCGTGGGTGATCAGGTATGCCCTCGTGCTGAAGCCCTTCCCGCAGACGGAGCACTTGTAGGGCTTCTCGCCCGTGTGGGTCCTCTCGTGGGCCTGCAGGTTGCACTTCAGCTGGAAGTCCTTCCCGCAGTGGGCGCAGGACTTCTGCCTCTCGTGAGCCGGCTTCTGCGACTCGCTTGGTGCAGGGACGGTGAGCTGGGCTGCATTCCCATCGAATTCCACGTACCTGCCCTGGGAATTTATAAACTTGTCCCCTTCTTTCTCGGGGTACGCTTCCTCCTGGCTGGCAGACGCTTCGCCCCGATTAGGCCAGCCAGAGGCATTCTGCCCGCCCCTTCCTGACAGCACCCAGTGCGGTTCCCGTTTCCTGGCATCTTCTTGTATGTTCTGCTCCTGCCCACCTCCTGCTGGAATAAGGAGAGAATCTCAGTGTTATTTGCTGTTTGCCTGTTAGCTACAAAGCCATGTTCAAAGGCTTGCTATTAATGTGCAGAGCCCTGAGGAGCTTGGCACCAGGTTACCTGAAGGACAATGTTCTCTGTTTAGACTTTGTTCAGTGTGAGGGCCACATTCCCTTCTGCAGAACCTTCTGAGGGCCATATGCCAGTGCTGGGCAGGACCAAAGGAAAACATGGGAGAAGCAATGTGGTTAAAACTCCGCCACCAGGAATCCTTACCCAGCAAGGCTGCTTCTCTGTCGCCTTCCTGTTTGATCTCTCTGAAGAGGGGCCTTGGCCAGGCACCCAAGGGAGATGCCTCCACTTCAGGGATCTTGGCAGACCCCTCCTTGGACACCCCCAGCACCTGAAACAGAGGGAGAGATTGTTCTTACTTATCCAACCCCAGCCCGGTGGGGATGGTGCTTCCCTCCTGCCCCAGAGAGCTTACACTATTTTTTTTATAAAAAAAAATAGGTGGGTGGGAGAGGAAGGGGAAAATGTGTGATTATTTCGGTTACTGTAGGGCATACTCAGACCATTCACAGGCTAGAAGCACACACCCACACCCTGGGTTTCAGATACCTGGGACCTTCTGCTTGCTAAGTGTGGACAATGAATTAAGTTTCTTCCCCATCTAGCTTAGTGTTGTCTGTTCTGACTGGCAGCAGCTATTGAGGACACATGCAGAGGAAGATTACAGTGGTGCCTCGCAAGACGAAATTAATTCGTTCCGCAAGTTTTTTCTTCTTGCGAGATTTTCGTCTTGCGAAGCACGGTTTCCCATAGGAATGCATTGAAAATCAAGCAATGCGTTCCTATGGAGACCGTCCGGGGACAGAGGGGAAGCGCCGCGCGCCTTCCCCTCTGTCCCCTCTTTTGAAGCAAGGGGCGGATGGGGAGAAGATCACTTCTCCCCATTGCTGCCCGTTGGTTCAAAAGGGGTCCGGGGACAGCGGGGAAGACGCGCTGCGCTTCCCCGCTATCCCCGGAGCTTGCGGGGCAAGCTTCGTTTTGTGAAGCAAGCCCATAGGGAAATGCGTCTTGCGAAGCGGCTAAGAAAACGAAAAACTCCTTCGTCTAGCGAGTTTTTCGTCTTCCGAGGCGTTTGTCTTGCGGGGCACCACTGTATTCCCATCCCTTGCGGTCAGGCCCTTTTTCGAACTGAAGATGCCAGGGAATGAACCTATGAATATTTCTGTATCCGAAGTAAGAGCTCTGCCACTGTCCGTCCGTTAAGGCCAACGTTCACCCCACTTAAAACACTAGGAGACCATGTTGAATAGTCATGGCTTCCCCCAAAGAATTATGGGAGTTTGTAATGGGCACTGAGAGTTGTTGGGAAACCCCCTTTCCCCCTCAGAGGCCGTCAATTCCCAGAGCTCCCTGAGAAGAGGGATTGACTGTTAAAGCACTCTGAGAACCGCAGCTCTGAGGAAAACGGGGGTTTCCGAATGACGCTCAGCATCCTTAAATCACAGCTCCCAGAATCCTTTGGGAGAAGCCGTGACTGTTATAGTGCCTTAATGTAGGCTGTGAATGCGACCTGTCTCTGCCCTCTCCGCAACTCCGAAAGCCTCACAGGTAGCAGGGAGAAGCAGAATATTCCTCCAGATATTCCTCTATGCCACAGGAGCGGCAAGGATCCTAACTGCTAAAAACTGGGGAAAAGAAATTGTGCCAACGAAAAAGGAACGGCAAGACAAACTGTTAGAGAGTTTCAAAAAGCATGGGGAAAATGCAGAGAATACTTCACAAAACAGTGCCCTAAAATAAATACCTGGACTTGTTTCGATTAATGTCTGCAGAAGACTTTGTGGATACTTAAGTTATTAGAAAAATCTTAATAATTATTCATAAAGGAAACAGCTTATAAGAAGTAAATAAGGAGGCCAGATACAGGATCAAGGAAGTCTTTTATTTGGTTGTTTGTATGGTTGTATGTTATGTTTATTGTGTGTTATGTTCACGTTTAATGAGGGTGGATTTCTGTATTGGGGGGGTGGGGGTTTATGTTATGTTGTAAATAAAACTTCCAATAAAAAAAAGAGGAAGGTAGCAGGGAGAAGCAGACACTCACCTGCTCGGGCCGCTGCTTCTCGGGCCTCTGCCTTAGCAGGAAGTCTTCCGCCAAGGCCACCGCCCGCGAGCAGCTCTCTGGCCCGCCTTTCCTGACCCAGCTCTGCATCTCCGAGGGCAGGACAGCCAGGAACTGCTCCAGGATCACCAGCTCCAGGATCTGCTCCTTGCTGCGCCTCTCCGGCTTCAGCCACCAGTGGCAAAGATCCCAGAGGCGGCTGCAAGTCTCTCGAGGCCCCTCAGCCTCCTGGTAGCCGAACTGCCGGAAGCGCTGGCGCTCGGCGTCCATGCCAGTGGCCACGCTGTTCTCCTCCTCCCCCAGGGCCTCTTCCTTGACTTTCCCAGACTCTCCTGTCTCTTTGGCCAAGAGGCTGTTAGCCGGCTGCTGGGCTTCTCTGCAGGGCCCTGGAAGGAGAGGGGTTGTCATCTCGTTCCTCAGATGCGGCCTGGCGCCATCCATTCCCACCGAAGGAGGCAGGACGGGGTGGGCCTCATCCCGCAACGCCAATGTCCGCTGGTGCTGGTTTCTTCCGTCGGAGTGGGAAGACTCCATCGCTCTGAGGAACTCCTGCAACTGGGCCTCCCATGGCTGCTGCAGCCCCTTCTGTGGCTCCTGCTTGACGTGGCCCGACATGTTTCTCTCCCAGAATTCCCTGGTATTCCTGGCCTGCATGACGTGCGGGCCGTTCCCCACTCCTGGGTCACGGGCCGCTAGGTCCGGTTGCTCCAATTTCACTCCCTGTTGAGGCCCAGCCTCGGGCTGGAGACCCAGCACCAATCCGTCCCTCGACTTGGCCGCCATCTTATTTCTTCCCGGCAAATGTCCGCCCGAGTCCAAGTTACCAGTTCTTTCCGCAAGCCCAGACTGTGAAGCTTTTGACCTCACGAAGCTGCTGGGTGTGCAGACATGCAAGCGGTTTGGAAGGGAAGTTTAAGCTTCCTGAGGAGGGAAAAAAAGGAGATATATATTAATTTCATAAGAATACAAGACAAGCACTGCTAGATCAAACCAAGGCAAAATATATGCACTTAATACCATTCTACAATCATGGCTTCCTGCAAAGAATCCTGGGAACTGTAGTTTGCTAGGAGTCTCCTAGGGACGCGGGTGGTGCTGTGGTCTAAACCACTGAGCCTAGGGCTTGCCCATTTTTCGGTACCAGCTCCTGCCAACCTAGCAGTTCGAAAGCACGTCAAAGTGCAAGTAGATAAATAGGTACCGCTCCAGCGGGAAGGTAAACGGCATTTCCATGCGCTGCTCTGGTTTCACCAGAACTTCCTGACAGTAAGAGCTGTTCGACAGTGGAATTTGCTGCCAAGGAGTGTGGTGGAGTCTCCTTCTTTGGAGGTCTTTAAGCAGAGGCTTGACAACCATATGTCAGGAGTGCTCTGATGGTGTTTCCTGCTTGGCAGGGGGGTTGGACTCGATGGCCCTTGTGGTCTCTTCCAACTCTATGATTCTATGATTCACATGCAAAGCGGGGGATCTACCCCTGAGCTATGACATATTCTTCATTTAGCAGAGATTTATTTCACCCTCCTGCCCATGTTTCTCCTTCCATGCCTGTGTTCATACATATTCAATACAGTCAACACCCACAGCTCTTTTAGGGAATAAGACTAAGGCATGTTGGGCCAGGACCTGGGGGACCAGGGTTCAAATCCCCCTCGGAACATGAAGTTCACAGGGTGATCTTGGGTAAGGTTACCAGACGTCCCCGTTTCCCAGGGACAGTCCCTGGATTTACAAATCAGTCCCGATTCAAAATCAATTGAAGTTGAAAAATGTCCCTGGATTCATTGAAAAAAATCTGGTAAACTTAATCTTGGGCCAGTCAGCAATTCTCAGCCTAGCCTACCCCCAAGGGCTGTTCTGAGGATAAATTGGAGAGGACTATGTCTTCCACTTTGAGTTCCTCGTAGGTAAGGTGGGATATAAAATATAATTAGTAAATAATTATATTTAGCCTGGAGAAGAGGAGGTTAAGGGGTGATATGATAGCCATGTTCAAATATATAAAAGGATGTCACATAGAGGAGGGAGAAAGGTTGTTTTCTGCTGCTCCAGAGAAGCGGACACGGAGCAATGGATCCAAACTACAAGAAAGAAGATTCCACCTAAACATTAGGAAGAACTTCCTGACAGTAAGAGCTGTTCGACAGTGGAATTTGCTGCCAAGGAGAGTGGTGGAGTCTCCTCCTTTGGAGGTCTTTAAGCAGAGGCTTGACAACCATATGTCAGGAGTGCTCTGATGGTGTTTCCTGCTTGGCAGGGGGTTGGACTCGATGGCCCTTGTGGTCTCTTCCAACTCTATGATTCTATGATTCTAAGTGGCCCATCTAGTCTGGCATTCTCTTCTCACAGTGGCCAAAGCAGACACCCCAATAGGAAACACCAAGCAGGACATGACAGCATAACAGCACTGACACCTCCAACTTGTGATTCCCAAAAATTGATACCAGAGGCGTATTCTGCCACTGAATGCTTTATCAACCCAAGAAGCCTAAAAATCACAGAATTGCAGAGGTAGAAGGGACCACAGGAGTCATCTAGTCCTGCCCCCAGCAATGCAGGGATCTTTTGCCCAAAGTGGGGTTCAAACCCACGACCCTGAGATTAAGAATCTCATGCTCTACCGACTGAGGCTATCTCCCGAGGTCCTTGATTCAGAGCGATCCAACCGAGGAAGGGCGTGTGTGCGTGCAAAAAGACACCATCACAAGCTAACCCCAGGGCAGAAATCCAGCAGGTGCAGCTGCCCCCAAACCCAGAAATGCCATGATGGAGGAAGGCTTCACCTGTTCAACTTCTGCCAGCCACCCAGTTTCGAAAGGCATAGAAGCCCAACCGGAGAATCTCTCTACTGAAATTCTCCATCTCTTCCTGCTGCAAACCCACTTTCCCCACTCACCTGATCTTTCCTAAAAGAACAAGGGAGGTGGGAGATCAGCACCGCTGCTCCTCCTGCAGCGCCTGGGAAATTTAAACCCCTGCTTTCCCACAGTAGGCGGGGCAGGAAGTGAGTTGCGCTCTCTTCGCATCCCTCTGCTCCCAAAGCCTCTTAGTATCTCTAGGAAATGCAAGTCTCCATGAAACTTAACCCTTTGGTGAACGGCCATAAAGCAAATTGCTCAGAAAGCGGAGGGCCATTTCTGTTTAGCATCCCTTGGGACCACAGCCCAGCATCCTGTTTCAAGTCACAGTTGGCCTGTGGGAAATCTTCAAGGAGGACCAGCGCAAAGAGGCACTTCCCCCCGCTACTGTGGTTTCCAGCAAATGGTATTCAGAGGCCAGTGAGATTTGCCTTCTGGTGTAGGTGTAGTAGTTAATGAGCTCGGTGAATACTCGCTAATCCTGGGGAAACTCTGGGTCGATCCCTGCCCCTCCACCTGCAGCTGCTGGGTGACTCTTGGCTAGCCACACTTCTCTGAAGTCTCTCAGCCTCACTCACCTCACAGAGTGTTTGTTGTGGGGGAGAAGGGAAAGGAGATTGTTTAGACCGCTTTGAGACTCCTTAAGGGGGACAAACCTAGACAGTACAGTCATACCTTGGATGCATACGCTTCAGCTTAAAATATTTTTCAGTTGTGCCTCCGTGCAACCCCGGACATAATGGAGTGCATCATACTTCCAGGTTCGCCGCTTGCGCATGCGCAGATGCTGAAAAGGACATCACGCGCATGCGCGGAAGAGGCGAAACGCGACCCACGTACGTGCAGATGCACATTTGTGTCTTACGTTCGCATCCAGGATGCGAACAGGGCTCTGGAACAGTCCCGTTTGCCATCCAGAGGTTCCACTGTATCTTAAAAAGCAGAGACATCACCTTGCCGACAAAGGTCCGTAATTGTTAAAGCTATGGTTTCCCCAGTAGTGATGTATGGAATGAGAGCTGGACCATAAGGAAGGACTGATTCGCCAAAGGAATTTATGCTTTTGAATTATGGTGCTGGAGGAGACTCTTGAGAGTCCCATGGACTGCAAGAAGATCCAACCTATCCATTCTTAAGGAGATCAGCCCTGAGTGCTCACTGGAAGGACAGATCCTGAAGCTGAGGCTCCAATACTTTGGCCACCTCATAAGAAGAGAAGACTCCCTGGGAAAGATGGAGGGCACAATGAGAAGGGGACGACAGAGATGGTTGGACAGTGTTCTTGAAACTACCAACATGAGTTTGACCAAACTGCGGGAGGCAGTGGAAGACAGAAATGTTTTTCTCTGCAAGGTCAAACTGGAAAAGTCCCCCATTGTCTCTTTCCTCACAATCCTGTCTTAAGGACACATTTAAGATATGAATAAGGTGTGAGCCTGTGACCTGGCCAGGAAATAAGTATTTTACACTACAAAAGAATGGCCAGGCCTCCAGGAATCCAATCAAGTAACTTGCCAGACAGGAGATAAACTGTGACAAGGAGAAAAACAACATTTAAATTTCTGTGATGTAAGTGGGATGTATTGAGGGTGGTCTTAGGTTCACACTTCTGTGATGTATGCATATGTTTCTGGGGTGGTCTTGATCTAGAGGGATGGAATTTCAAAAGTCTATATAAGCCCTTGCAAGCATTTTTGGGGTCCTCCTCCTCTCCTGCGTGTGGAGGGAGTACCTGTTGCAACGATCAATAAAGATAAGCTATAACTGCTTTTGCTTTCAATATTCTCTGGTTGGCCTCTGTTATTTTCTCCTACAATAGGGAACCTAGTAAGGACTCTGTATGGGCTCTTGGATACCCATAAGGATAAGGGCATTTTTTATTTTTCAACACCTGCAAAGTCAAAGTGCTTTTGCTGGGTTACTGATTTACTAGTCCACAACCCACTTCCGATGGCTTTCTATTGCTTTGGCTTTGAGCCCAGTGTTAACATTTCTTTACGCCAAAACATATCCATGCTTGAGTTCTATTTAACTAGAAAATTACAAAACAACAACAACCCTGTTCTGTAATGGCCTTCTAAAAAATGTTTTATTTATTTTTTAACAATTTGGAACATTTCATTTTTTCACAAATCTTGTGTAATCTGGACATAATCCGCCAGGGCATATACAAAAAACCCAGGCTAAGGGTCCTGCATCTCTGTCCCACAGAAGTTTCCTACCTTCCCGAGGACCCACCTCAGCCACGTTCAGGGGGCTGGAAGCGGTCGCTTCTCTGCCAGAGGAAGGTGAGAGACGGGTCACCACTCTCCTCGAGCCAGCGGCGAACGGTAGCTGCTCCCTCAAAGGAGGCAAGAAAGGCCATCGAGTCGCTCCATGGCGGACACACTGGTGGGTCTTCAAGTGTCGAGCAAAGGGATGGTGTGGCCTTCAAGAATTCTTGCCACTGGGCTTCCCAGTGCTCAGTCAGTTTGTCATCCGGTTCTTGCTTCACCTGAGGGAGCGGCGGCCATCTCAGCAAGTCCTCAGTGGCTCCACACTGGATAATTTGAGGGTTTTCCTTCCCCTCTTGCTTTTCCTCCACTCGGTCCCCTGGCCCACGGCCCTTTGGGTCCAGCACCTCCACCTTCGCTCCTGACTTCTCAGGCACACCTTGGTCCTGGTTTCCTGCCGACTCCCATTTTGACACCCTCTTTCTTTCCACAAGAGACATCTCTGAAGTCAACCGTTGTCTTCCAGCTGCTTACAGCTGCTCTCAGAAGAGCCCACCATGAAGTCTTCGCTGTCCCACAGCCCATGAGTTTTATGCTCAGCCTGATGCTCATTCAACAGGCTGATCCGATGCCACGGATGCGACCTTCTGCAGTGTCACAGTTTTGGAAAGCAATGGCAGTGATGCCATAGGCTCAGGACAAGCTCAATTCTCCCTGTTTGTAAGAAAAAGAAAAGCCTCAGCACATTTTTGCCCCTATTTGAAAACAATTTTTTTTTTGTAATTGTCCAAACCTTCCTTTTGAGCTTTATTAAACCAATATCTTCCAAACTAAGTTATTAGGCAAAACTGTTTGGAATATTAAACTGTGTTCTACAAATATCAGTCATTTGGCAATCAATCGGCCTTTGGAGACCGCACTCTCCCCCCTCCGGGCCCTGGAGGGGGAGCTGCTAGACATCCCTTAGCCTTCTCTCTCGCTCTTAATGAATATAAAATACTTCTGCAAACAGCTGCACTGTATATTGTAAATGTTTTTTTAAATAAAATATTTCTTACAAACTCAGATTTCTTACATGCTGACGCAGCTCAAGACCCCAATATATTCTGGAATGTCTCTCCTGATATGAACCTACCCAGACCTTTAGATCTTCTTCTAAGGTCCTTCTCCAGGTCTCCACTCTGAGGGAGGCTCTGAGGATGTTGAAATAAAGATGAACCTGCAAGCAGGATCCGATCCAACAAGCGGCACGCTCACCTCCTGTGGTTTCCCAAGCAACTGGTATTCAGAAAGCAATTATTTCCCCAGCCATAGCCAAGCATAGTCATCAATAACTGGTCAGGTTCCAGTCCCCGGCATCTCCATGTTAAAGCTGGAAATTTCTCCTGCCCGAAAACCTCACGGGAGCTGCAGCCAGCCTCAGTAGATGGTCCTAAAAAACAATCGTGTATAGGGTTGTTGGAATTTTTTCCCGAGCCCCCATGTTGTGCCAAAAAGATTCCTGCAATGCAGGGGGTTTGGACCCTGGAATGACCCCTCGGGGCCCCTTCAATTCTGTGGTTCTAAAGTTACACTCCCTAAATTTGATTCTGGAAATGATTTTAAATGAAATTGATTTTAAGATATGCATTTCTATTATCCGTTGTGATTTTATTGTAAACTGTGTTACTTTTACTGTTGTTAGCCGCTCTGAGCCCGGCTTCGGCTGGGGAGGGCGGGATATAAATTTTAAAAAAGAATATTGTTTTATTAGCACCCACCCCACCCTAGCTTTAAAAAGAAAGGGGAAAACGGGGTGGGGTGGGAAGGAGAGAAAATCTGTGTTGTCCCCCCCACCCCGGTGGCTTTCAACCAACCAACCGAATTTGCAGGTCCTTTTGGGACTCCAAACTAAGGGGAAACTGCAAAATAAAAAGCTCCACTGTTCACCTCGGCCTGGAAAAGAAATAAATGCTGATTCGCTTTTCCCCCCTATGAGAAGGGAGGCTCCGCGCATCTCTCACCTCTTTCGAGGGCGCCCCTGCAAGGTCGCTGCTGCAGCTGAACTCCAGGTTGCCACTTCTGCCAACAGCGGGAGGCGGGCGGGTGGGGAGGGTCCAGAAGGCGGAACAGGAAGGAACCTTCAACACGAATCGGCGCACACCCACGTGCCCACTCATTCTCAGGGCCGCCCTAGGAAGCGAGGCGCGCTTTATTCTTTTTTACTCTTAACCCTTTCAAACCTACCACCCCCCTGGAATTGATTAAATCGCACCCAGTAGGTTTGTGCGATTGAGATTTGTGCTCCTCCTTTTGAAGGCGCCACCGTTGCCAAAAACGGCAGGGCTCCTGCACCTCGTTGACCTGTGCATTATCAGTTGCTGCAATGTTAAAATCAGAAGAAGAGGGTGGGACCTTGTGATAGGAATTTTATGGTCTTAGATATATGGCAATGTTCATAAACCGCACATACATAGATCAACACAGGAAGGCCAACCTGGAACCATTTTGATTCCCAAACTGACCAAATGTTTTCTCTGCAAGGTCAAACTGGAAAAGTCTCCCCATTGTCTCTTTCCTCACAAATCCTGTCTTAAGGACACATTTAAGATATGAATAAGGTGTGAGCCTGTGACCTGGCCCAGGAAATAAGTATTTTACCACTACAAAAGAATGGCCAGGCTCCCAGGAAATCCAATCAAGTAACTTGCCAGACAGGAGATAAACTGTGACAGGAGAAAAACAACATTTAAATTTCTGTGATGTAAGTGGGATGTATCTGAGGGGTGGTCTTAGGTTACACCCCTTCTGTGATGTATGCATAATGTTTCTGGGGGTGGTCTTGATCTAGAGGATGGAATTTCAAAAGTCTATATAAGCCCTTGCACAGCATTTTTTGGGGGTCCTCCTCCTCTCCTGCGTGTGAGGGAGTACCCTGTTGCAACAGATCAATAAAGATCAAGCTTACTAGCTGCTTTGCTTCTCAATATTCTCTGGTTGGCCTCTGTTATTTTCTCCTACCAATAGGGAACCTATGTAAGGACTCTGTATGGGCTCTTGGATACCCCATAAGGGATAAGGGCATTTTTTTATTTACAACAACCTGCAAAGTCAAAGTGCATTTTGCTGGTTAACTGATTTACTAGTCCCACAACCCACTTCCGATGGCCATTTCTATTGCTTTGGCTTTGAAGCCCAGTGTTAACATTTCTTACGCCCAAACCACATATCCATGCTTGAGTTCTATTTACTAGAAAACATTACAGAAACAACAACAACACCCTGTTCCTGTAATGGCCTTCTAAAAAATGTTTTATTTATTTTTTACAATTTTGGAACAATTTCATTATTTTCACAAACTCTGTGTAATCTGGACATAATCCGCCAGCGGCATATCCAAAAAACCACCAGGCTAAGGTTGGATAGTGTTCTCGAAGCTACCAACATGAGTTTGACCAAACTGCGGGAGGCAGTGGAAGACAGGAGTGCCTGGCGGGCTCCGGTCCATGGGGTCATGAAGAGTCGGACACAACTAAACAACAAAAAAGGGACACGGGTGGCGCTGTGGGTTAAACTACAGAGGCCTAGAACTTCCCGGTCAGTGGTTCGAATCCCCGTGACGGGGTGAGCTCCCGTTGCTCGGTCCCTGCTCCTGCCAACCTTGCAGTTCGAAAGCACGAAGTGCAAGTAGATAAATAGGTACCTCCAGCGGGGAAGTAAACGGTGTTTCCGTGCGCTGTTCTGGTTTGCCAGAAGCAGCTTAGTCATGCTGGCCACATGACCCGGAAGCTGTACGCCGGCTCCCTCGGCCAATAAAGCAAGATGAGCGCGCAACGCCAGAGTCGGTCACGACTGGACCTAATGGTGAGGGGTCCCTTTACCTTTACTTAAAGGGACAACTATGAATTTTGCCTCCTCACTTGCTTATTTAGCTGTTCTTTACTTTCAACACCAAAGCACAGCCTATGTAAGGGAACTGGAACTGACAAATTTAACTTAACCTTTGAATAAGCAGAGAACCCTATAATTGTAGAGTTGGAAGGGACCCCCGAGGGTTATCTGGTATAACCCCCTGAATCTCAGCTAAAGCATCCGTGACAGATGGCCACCCAACCTCTGCTTGAAAACCTCCAAGGAAGGAGAGACCATCACCTCCCGATGGAGTCCTTTCCACTGTCGAACAGCTCTTACAGTCAGAAAGTTCTTCCTGATGTTGAGTCGGAATCTATTGCAGCTATTCTTTTGTTCTGGTTATTGTTGATGAAGATTAAATACCAATAAAATAATGTTTTAATTGCTTTAATTGGAATGTTTTCTGGATTTGTCACTCCTCAGGGGTTGCCAGAGTGGGGCCTGCAGGTGCCAGTACCCCCTGACGGCACCTGCAGGTCTCAGTAAATATTCCCTCATAAAATCACAATACCTGAGAGATAAGCTGAGGGAGGCTGGAGTTACCATACTCTCTGTGCTCATCAAACTATGGTGCTGATGCCTGAGGAGGGGCCATTTTTTATCCTCCCAAGAGGGCTGGGGTCTGCTCATAGCAGGGCTCTCACTGTGTGTGAGCTGGACTGACATTACCCTTGTCAAAATCAGTGTTTGGGGGTCCAGAAAAAGATGTGGAGGGCAAAAATCTGCCTAAATGGGAATTAGCCACCCTTACTTTAATAAAACATTTTAATAGACCCCCCCAAAACCCCACAGCTCTTTTAAATACACATCCCAATTAACCATCCATTTTTTAAAGAAATATCCATTCTTTTTTTAATACAGAAAAAAGCATACAACAGACACCACCTTAGGTGAGGTGTTTTCCCTTTCACATGAGCACGTGCACATACACCATTGAAAAAACGAAGACAGTATGCTTTCCTCCTTCCAAACAACTATTTTCAGTCATAAGCAAATGTGAGATAGACATCTGGACACAAACAGGGTGTGAGGTATAGCTGCCCTTCCAGGCGTCTTGTTTATTGAGCATTCACTGTAATTGTTTCACAGATTAGACAGGTGTTGGCTGCAGAACATCTGCTTTGCATGCAGATTTAATCCCTGGAATCTGTGGGAATGCTGGGAGAAGATCCTGTCTGAAATCCAGGAGAGCCACTGCCAGTCAGATTAGAAACTACCAAGAGCAAGATGGACCCAAGGTCTGAACTTGGTAGATAAGGCAGCTTTCTACGTTCTCTTGAATTCTGCTTTGTTTGTGGGAAGGCTGCATAAGACTGCGTACAAGCAAGGGTTACCTCAGTGAGTTTCCCCATCATTTTCCTTCCCAAAAAAGTCTAATCCTTTCTTGGGGGATGGAAGTGGATTTGTGGCACAAGACCTCCCCATCGACTGCAACTGTGAAACCTGCATTTGCTGGTATATGAAGGAATCCTGCCCACCAAATAGCGAGAGTCTGGAAGCGCCCTTTGTGGCAGGTAAAACCATGTTAAGAAAAAGACAAGTTGGGATTAGAAAAATAAAGAGCAAACACCTCGCTTACTGGAACAACAACAAAAGCTGTGGAATAACTTATGGTTTGAACAAACATTCAAATGGGAGACACTTGAGTTGTTGGGGGCTACAAGGACCACCCACAATTCATGCTGAAGCCCTGAGAAACACAGTTCACTTCCACACAGTTTATTGTGGACTTGGTACTGTTCACATTTTCCACAGCATCTTGACGATGTCATCCTCAACCAAATGACGTCCCTTCCTCCCTGCCCAATTTAATCTGTTTTTACAGCTTCTTTGTTTGTTTTAAATTTATTGGATTAAATTCCACAGCAACAGGTTTTCCACAGCGACAGCGCGTCTCAATTAAGGGGGAAATTATACAAGATAGCATTTTGATGAGGACAATAGTGTGTGGTCGACCACATTTTTTGGGCCGGTGGAATTCTGAGAAACTGCCAGCGGCACCTGTCACAAAATGGCTGCTGTGGGGATGTGGCATAGCACAAAATGGCGGGCACATCCACAAGAGCAGGAAAAGAGACAGGGCCGCAAAAAGATGCAGGCATGCACCTTCCCCCTCAAGAAAAAACAGGCACCTACACCTGCCACCACTGCATTCACTTACAGAGAGAATGTAGTTACTCTTCTCTCCCATTCAGAACATCTCTCTGAAGCCCTGGCACCTAGGGAAATGTGGGCAGCTATAAAGAGGCGCATTCAATGTAAGAGGGGCTGAGACAGTGCAGGCAGGAACTGAGCAGGGAGGGCAAGTTCCTTTCAACTTGTGGACGTTTGAGAAGCAATTTATTGAAGTTTTCCATAGGTGCCACAGGAGGGCACACTGTCTCCTGTGGGTGTTGTTTGGCGACACCTGGTGTGGACACAGGTAAAAAGTGCCACATGGCACTGCTGTGGGGACGCCCCCACAATCAGGTTTGCTAATGGAGCCGACTGTTTGGCAGCCCTCACAGGTAACTGATGTTTCCCCCCGCAAGCACCCCACAGACCAGAGGTTTGAGGTCCAACCTCTGCCCACCTCACACCCTGACCCCCTGAATGAGAAAATGCAAAGTTATTCCATCAGGTGAGTTCTCTCGTGCTTGGTAAGCTTTGACCTCTGGCTGTAGCTCTTCCCGCAAGCCGAACACTGGTAAGGCTTCTCTCCCGTGTGGGTCCTCATGTGGAGCGTGAGGCCTGAGCTCTGGCTGAAGCCTTTCCCGCAAGCTGGGCAGGCGTACGGCCTCTCCCCGGTGTGGGTCCTCTCGTGTTTGATAAGGCCCGAGTGGTGCCGGAAGCTTCTACCGCAGATGGAGCACTTGTACGGCTTCTCGCCCGTGTGGGTCCTCTCGTGGGCAATGAGCGTTGAGTTGTGGCCGAAGGACCTGCCACACTCGGCGCACGTGTACGGCTTCTCTCCCGTGTGGGTGATTTCGTGCCTCACCAGGTCCGAGCTGCGCAGGAAGCTCTTCCCGCACTCGGAACACCGGAAAGGCTTCACCCCGGTGTGAGTCCTCTGGTGCAGGATAAGGTTGGACCTCTGGCTGAAGCTCTTCCCGCAATCCCCACACGCGTAAGGCCGCTCGCCAGTGTGGATTCTCTTGTGGAAACGGAGGCCGGAACTCTTACTGAAGCTCTTCCCACAAGTGGGGCATGTGTAAGGCTTCTCTGCCCCCGGAGTTTTCTCTGTCACGGAAGGAGGGCTGTCGCTCCGGCAGATTCGCTTCCCGGCCTCAAAGGGCGCATACATCTCCTCTCCAGCGTGGGTGCGCTTGTGTTTCATGAGGCTCGAATAGAGGCTAAACTTTTCCCCGCAGGTTAAGCACGCGTAACGCTTCTCTCCTGCGTGGATTATTGCGCGCTTAACAAGTGCCAAGCCCCTGTCGAGGTTTTCCCCGCAGTCTGAGCATCTGCAAGCCTCTTCTTCCTGTGTGTCACTTTGCTCATGCTCAGCTGGGCTTAAATCGGAGTGCAAGCTTTTCCCGCAGCTCAAACAGCAGCAAATCTTCTCACTTGCCACTTGGGCTCCCGTGCGATGCTTCATAAACTCAGCTCTCTGACTGGACGTCTCAAACTCTGAGCGTTTGTGGGGCTTGCCCTCAGCATCGATTAAGAAGTCCGCATCGTCACCAAAATTGCCCCCCTCTTCCTCACAGGGCTCCACCTTCTCGGACGCAGGCCTCGCTGGGATGTCCTTGACATCGTCTCCTCCAAGGAAAGAGGCCCCTGATCTTTTGTCTGGGCTGCATTCCTGCTTCCTCCTTGTCCTGAGCCATTTCTTGGAAGTTTGTCCTGGTTTTGGGTGGTGCCGGGAAACACATTTTTCTCTTCTGGGCAAGGCTCCATCAATCTCTGTTTGCTTTGGATTTCCCACGGAAGCCTCGTTTTCACTGGATCCCTCGAGGTTACCTGTTAAAGACAACATCCAAAGAGAGATCTGTATGAGTGACAAGGTGCTGGGGCTCTGTTTCTGCCCAGCAGGGGAAAGGAAGTCTCTAGCTTTCATGGTTGCAAAGGCAGGTTTCAAAGCAACACAAAGGGAAGACTAACCCATGTACTGCACTTACCACAGACGCTCCCATCTGCTGGGTCGTTCTCTTGCTCAAGTTCACTGTCCAGCTGTGTCTGGCTGGAATCCAGCAGGATCTGCTCACCCTCGAGGGAATCCCCAGCTCCTTCCTCAAACAGCCCCAAGACCTGGAAAGGCAGCAAGAACCCAACAGTAAGGACGGGTGAATCTGTCAATTACAGTTCCTCACAGTTCTCCATTTTTCTAATTGTAAGTTCAGCTCTTCACTCTCCCTTGTCGGTTTGCTATTACAATGGTACCTCGGGTTACAGACACTTCAGGTTACATACGCTTCAGGTTACAGACTCCACTAACCCAGAAATAGTGCTTCAGGTTAAGAACTTTGCTTCAGGATGAGAACAGAAATTGCGTGACGGCGGCGCGGCAGCAGCAGGAGGCCCCATTAGCTAAAGTGGTGTTTCAGGTTAAGAACAGTTTCAGGTTAAGAACAGACCTCTGGAACAAATTAAGTTCTTAACCCGAGGTACCACTGTATTATTTTTCTGGACGAGATACCACAACACAGTTTTGTATGCAATTTTGCATAAAATACACATTTTTGCAGCACATTTCCCCCCACAACAATATAATGCATTTTTGGCTGTTATTTTCACTAATTTTTATGCATACTTCTTTACCCCGATATATGCATTTCTGTACATGTCACTTGGCCAGAGAACCACATGGCAAAACTCAGAGAAGCACATATTTCGAATGAGTTGTAGTCCAAAAACAGCTGGATATGAATGAATATATAATGATAATAATCATCATATCATCTGGGCAGCCCGGGGTATCCATACACACAACCTAGGCTTGAGCCCCGAGGTCGTCACACTCCAACGTCTCTCGAGATAGGGAGAAGGCAACAACCACAACAATACAGTGGTACCTCGGGTTACAGACCCTTCAGGTTACAGACGCTTCAGGTTACAGGCTCTGCTAACCCAGAAATATTACTTCAGGTTAAGAACTTTGCTTCAGGATGGGAACAGAAATCGCACACCGGCGGCGCGGCGGCAGCAGCAGGAGGCCCCATTAGCTAAAGTGGTGCTTCAGGTTAAGAACAGTTTCAGGTTAAGAACAGACCTCCAGAACAAATTAAGTTCTTAACCCAAGGTACCACTGTACTAGGAAGCAGGAGCAGTGAAGGGGTGGCCTGGGACAAGCAGAGGCTGTGTGTGGCCCTCAGGCCTGAGGTTCCCAACCCCTGAGCTAAAGGCAGCCCAGCTTGCATGTTGAAGCACCATAACTTCAGGGGCAGAGCAGATGCAAAATATTCAGCCTCACGCATCTCCGGTCCCTGGCTGGGAAAGCCACTGGCCAACCGATGGCCAGTAATACTGGTCTGTACAGGAGCAATAGCAGCTCTCAGGCTTTGCCCTCTCCCTCTCGGCAGCCTCACCTCACTCGGCAGGTACGTCTCACCAGAGTGGTGCCTGCTCTGGTTATCTCCCGCTTGGACTACTGCAATGCGCCCTACGTAGGGCTACCTTTGAAGGTGTCCCGGAAACTACAACTAATCCAAAATGCGGCAGCTAGACTGGTGACTGGGGGCGGCCGCCGAGACCATATAACACCGGTCTTGAAAGACCTACATTGGCTCCCAGTACGTTTCCGAGCACAATTCAAAGTGTTGGTGCTGACCTTTAAAGCCCTAAATGGCCTTGGTCCAGTATATCTGAAGGAGTGTCTCCACCCCCATCGTTCTACCTGGACACTGAGGTCTTCTCCGAGGGCCTTCTGGCAGTTCCCTCCCTACAAGAAGCGAAGTTACAGGGAACCAGGCAGAGGGCCTTCTTGGTAGTGGCGCCCTCCCTGTGGAACGCCCTCCCACCAGATGTCAAAGAGAACAATTACCAGACTTTCAGAAGACATCTGAAGGCAGCCCTGTTTAGGGAAGCTTTTAATGTTTGATGTATTACAGTCTTTTAATATATTTTTTGGAAGCTGCCCAGAGTGGTCGGGGAAGCCCAGCCAGATGGGCGGGGTATAAATAATAAATTATTATTATTATTATTATTATTATTATTATTATTATTATTATTATTATCACCTCTTCCTGGCCCTCGCCCTCTCGCTGCCTCAGCAGGAACTCCTCCGCCAGGGCCACCGCCTGCCCGCAGGTCTCCGGGCCGCTTCCCTTCACCCAGCCCTGCATCTCCATGGGCAGGACAGCCAGGAACTGCTCCAGGATCACCAGCTCCAGGATCTGCTCCTTGCTGCTCCTCTCCGGCTTCAGCCACTGGTGGCAGAAATCCCGCAGCTGCCCGCAAACCTCCCGGGGCCCCTCGGCCTCCTCGTAGCAAAAAGACGGAAGCGCTGGCGCTGCCACTCCCTGCAGCTGGCCTCCCCGCGCAAGATGGCCGCCTTCATCTTCCCGTAACTCTCTCGGGCGTTGGGGCCGCCCAAGCCCTCCTCGGCTGCTTCTCCCAGCCGGGTGGCCCACTGGTTGGCCTCGCCGGCCCCCTCAAAGTGGGCCAGGAAGGCCTTGATGTCTCCCCAGGGCATGGCGGGCTCTGTCGGCTGCAAGCAAGGGGCCTGCTTCCCCCCGGGGGACTCCAGCCACTCGGACCCCTGGCTCTGGAGCAGGCCCTCCTCTGCCTCCTCTTTAACCCGGGGGATCGTTATCCTCTTCATAACTCTCCTGACGCTCCTGGGATGAAGGATGCCGTGAGGTGTTTCCCGCGTTCTTCCAGATCCCTCAACTTGTTCAGGGCCCATGAGGTCCTCCTCATCCATTTGGTCTTCATCCAGAGCAGCCTGGCCTCCCAGAATCCTTTGCTGGTCGGCCATTTTCTTTCCCGAGCAACGGGACAGCCTTATCGCAATTCAAGCCTCACACCACTCTTCCTCGCCTTCTTATAACTTCAGACTTTTGGATAAATGGCTCGTGTCTCTACCGTACTTCTGCCCTTCAAACAAGCTGAACTCACAGATGATGGGCCTGTTTAGAAAAAGAGATATGGATTTTTTGGTTTGTTTTAATTTTTATTCATATATTAATATAACATATGCATAACAAAAATATATATATAACAATTGACCTGTTAGTGTGACACTTTGGAACTCCCTCCCATTGACAGCATGCAGGTCCCTTTACTGTACTCTTTCTGGCGCTTGCTGAAAACATTTTTCTTTAGGCAAACCTACCCAGATATGTAGACTATTTACATGTGTTTTAATCTGTTTTTAGCTGATTTTTATTATTATCTGAATGTTTTAAGCAGCTGCTTTTAACTGCTGTTAGCTGTTTTTACTGATCACTTTTAGTTTTATTCTTTTTGTACATTTGCTTTGAGTGGTTTTTTCAGTCAAGCAGTATATAAATTGTATGAGATAACTTGTATGAGATAAATTGTATGATATATAAAAATAATTTCACAGAAATAAAACAATGTGGATAAAAATATATATATTTTAAATAAATAAATAAATAAATAAATAAATAAAACAAAGTGCTGCACCAACAAGCACAAAACAACCTCTCTGCAGTGCCGCAAATCCAACTTAATGGTGTAACGTTGGAAAGTGTCAATCACTTTTCCTATCTTTCCACCAGGGCTGACATGGATGCCAAAATCTGGCATTGCCTGAGCTCTGCGAGTGCAGCTGTCTCCCAATTGAAACACAGAGTGTTTAAGGACCAGGACATTTGCAGGGAAACTGAAATGCTAAGCTATTGTACTACCAACCTTACCGTACGCTTGTGAAACATGGACCACTTATAAACGCCATCTCCAACTCCTTGAAAGATTCTATCAACGGTGTCTCTGAAAAATTTTACACATCACTTGGGACAACAGGCGAACTAATGTCAGTGTGCTGGAAGAAGCAAAGATCACCAGTGTCGAAGCAACGATACTTCAACATCAGCTTCGTAGGACTATTCATGTTGTGCAGATGCCTGATTATTGTCTTCCAAAGCAACTACTCTATTCCCAGCTTAAGAATGGAAAGCATAATGCTGGTGGGAAAAACAAAAGAGGTTTAAAGACTCTCTCAGGGCAATCTTTTAAAATGTAGTACAGTCATACCTCATGTTACGTTTGCTTCATGTTACATTTTTTCAGGTTGCGTCCCGCAGTGACCCGGAAGTACCGGAAAGGGTTACTTCCGGGTTTCACCGCTCGCGCATGCTCACAAGCGCCAAATCGCGCCACACACCTGTGCAGATACGGCGCTTCAGGTTGCAGGCTTTTCATGTTGCGAACGGGCCTCCGGAACGGATCCTGTTCACAACCAGAGGTACCACTGTATAAACACAAACAATTGGGAAACACTGGCCTGCAAGAGCTCCAACTGGAGAACAGCCTTTACCAAAGGTGTCACGGACTGTGAAGATGCTTAAACTCAGGATGAAAGGGAGAAGTGTGCTAAGAGGAAGGCACGCTTGGCAAACCCTCACCGTGATCAACTCCTGCCCAAAAACCAATGTCCCCACTGTGGAAGGACGTGTGGATCCAGAACTGGCCTCCACAGTCACTTACACTCTCACTGTTAAGACTGTGTTCATGGAAGACAATCTTACTTAGCTACGAGTGATCGCCAAAGAAGAAGACTCCAAATCACATAGTGGATGCAGGAAGCTGATGAAATAACCAAGCAGAAGCTGATTGTGGCAGGTGAAATTTGCACAGATACGTATAGGTGTTTGTTTGCTTTTTAAATGACTGGAGGGTGGGTGGGTGCGGGTGCCTAGTCCCTGCAGCCCATTACCTCCCTCTCCTGATGTCTCTCCCCCCGTCCTTTCTGGTCTTGCACCCACCCCTTTAAAACTCACCTCCCTTCCAGAGATGCAGCAGAAATAAATCCAGAGCAAAACTCTTTTGCAGATCAGCAGTGCAAACCGAGGCTGGGGATTCAAAAGGCAGGTTCCCTCCTGGAGAAGGTGGAGCAGGAAGGAGACTGGAGGGTTTCCCATTCTCCACCCCCCAGCCACACACACACACACACAGAGACACACTTTTAAGAAAGGAAAACCCACAGATTTCCGGCCCTTCTCTAGCAACTACAGCCTCTGTTGACTTAACTCTTTGCAGCATCCCAAGAGCTCAGTTTAAAAGGATCAAGGAGCTTGGCAGGGCGAGGAGAAGGAGGAGCTCTCTCTGCCAGCCAGAATTATATTTATTTGTTGCATTTATATCCCTGAATTTGTTGCATTTAGATTCTTTCCAGCCACATGCCCTGTCATAGACTGGCCTGCTGCTTTACTGTGCTGGGCTTTTAATTGTTGCTGTCATGGGCATAGCCAGGGCGGGTGGGGGGAATTAAAATCAATAGCAAACTCAGGTTCTGCCCCCCCCCCAACAAAAGGCAATGCAGGAATTAAATAAACACTAGTTCTTTTAAATCGCCAATGAACAAGCTTAGCAATGCAATTTTAGGACCACCCAGTACTGTTCTTAGTTCATCATGAACTTCCGAATAAGACCGAACCTTCTCGCAGAGGCAGTGTGGGGTAGTGGTTAGAGCAGGGTTCAGCAAACTTTTTCAGCAGGGGGCCGGTCCACTGTCCCTCAGACCTTGTGGGGGGCTGGACTATATTTTGAAAAAATAATAATGAACGAATTCCTATGCCTCACAAATAACCCAGAGATGCATTTTAAATAAAAGGACACATTCTACGCATGTAAAAACACGCTGATTCCCGGACCCTCCGCGGGCAGGATTGAGAAGGCGATTGGGTCGCATCCAGCCCCCGGGCCTTAGTTTGCCTACCCATGCTGTATGCCCCTTTGAGCTTCTTAGAGAAGAAGGTGGGGGGAAAGCAGTTTGTTGTTGTTATGTTTTTACATGTGTTGGAAACCGCCCAGAGTCACTGGGCCAACCCAGCCAGATGGGTGGGGTATAAGCAAAATTATAAATAAAATTATAATATAAAATTATAAATATCTAGCAGTGCGCATCAAACACAGCCCTTCCTGAGTTATAGGGGTTTCCACCATCCTCTCCCCTAAGGGATCTTGCGTCTTTCAAGTGGCAGGCAGAAATTCAGAGGGCGAAGCTCTCCCCGGGCATGGAAATGCAATGCTGTGCCTGGCTGCACCTGTTTGATGTCTGCCTGCCACGCTGCTGCTTCAAGGCCAGGGCTTTGTTTGTTGTTTAAGGAGTACCACCTGGCCTTGTGAGAGTGATGGTGGCTTCTCCCAGAAAGAGAGAGATGCAATAGGGTTAAAAAAATAAAGCGTCACCCAGGCAGTTCTCTGCTTCCTAGAGAAGCCAGGAAAGATCTTCTTTCCTCTTCCCTTCAATGCCCTGGCGAGGAATCCTTTCCTGTGTTTTGCCACAGAGGAAAACCAGAGCCTTGGCAGGACATTGCCCAGAGGGTTTGCAGGGCAGCAGCTGCTGCAAGGAGCTGGTGAGTTGGAGGAAGGAGAATGGGGGTCATCTTTGGGGGGAGGAGGAGGTTTCACTGGGGTTGGAGAGGAAAAGAAACAGCTGGGGGGAAAGGGATTACTTTTTGCTCTGTGGAAAGAGAGAGGGGCATTTTCCCCAAATGTGCCCGGAAAGAGAAAATTGTATTTACTGGCGCATTGGTGCTGCGCTGTTCCGTTTGAGCTGCTTTCGTTGGCATAATAGGGTGTGTGCAGTTCTGTCATAAGGCAGAAAGGCAAATGGTCAAATATTTTGGCAGGCGGACAAAACCAATCTGATCAATAATAAAAAAAATGTTTCTATGCCGCTAAAAAATATCAAAGTGGTTTACAACAAACGAGTACACACAAACACACACTAAAGAAACATGTAAAAATGAAAACCAAGATCATCCGCTAACTATTTTTAGTAGCCTGCATAAGTCTGGCAGCGTGGGAAAGTTCGCAGCAGACTTTTAAAGATTAAAGAGAAGGCATCCATTGGGTCTCTACTGAGCCTTCCACAAGATTGGGCCAATCACTAATTTTTATTATTAGTTACATTTGCATACCATAGATCTCAGGGAGGTTCACAGCATTGAAATACAAGATAAAAACACAAATGCATAATAAAAACAAGAACAAAGCAAACTAATAACCCCCTGCCCTCCTAATTTACACTTCCTGGAAATAATATGTGACCAAAAACACTGGGATCCTTCAAAATGTGCACTTATCCGAAATTTGCAGTGCCATTCCCCAGTCGAAAGGATGTGTATGAAACTAAATATATTTGTGAGACATAGAATATAGCAAAAATGTGTCCCTTTTGTGAAAGTCGCTTGCCAAAAATGTACATATTAGGCAAAAATACATAGAAAGAGGTTTATTTTAGGTAAAATGGGCACTAACAAAGTTTCATAAGGAACGTTTTTTTAAAAAGGAAATTGCCAAAGGAATCCCTTTCCGGCACGACAATGGACGCCAAAATATTGTCATGCTTTCTCATCAGGCAAAAAACAAAGAGGTGCGAACCTTGAAATGTGAAGAGGGTGCAGCGCATGCTGCCTCGCATCTTGCAACATGAGTGGCAGTGGCCTGAACCCGTGAAAAAGGTGGCAAAATTGCAGTGAGAAACACCACCAGGTTGAGGGGAATGCAAACAGATTTCTTCGGGAATCAAACAACACGGAAACGAGTGCTAAACTTGTGCCATATGCCATTGCATTGCAGCTCAAATATTATGCATAAAATAACAGGGAAATATGGCATGCGGGTGGTGCTGTGTTAAACCACAGAGCCTAGGACTTGCCGATCAGAAGGTTGGCGGTTCGAATCCCCGTGACGGGGTGAGCTCCCGTTGCTCGATCCCTGCTCCTGTCAACCTAGCAGTTTGAAAGCACGTCACAGTGCAAGTAGATAAATAGGTACCGCTCTGGCGGGAAAGTAAACGGCGTTTCCGTGCGGCGCTCTAGTTCGCTAGAAGCGGCTTAGTCATGCTGGCCACATGACCCGGAAGCTGTACGCCGGCTCCCTCGACCAATAAAGCGAGATGAGTGCCGCAACCCCAGAGTCGGCCACGACTGGACCTAATGATCAGGGGTCTCTTTACCTTTACCTTAACAGGGAAATGGAATAAACTGCAGCATTCAGCCGAAAGCAGTCTGCTCCAAAAGTAACAGCAGTTTAACAGCTTTTTCTCCTTCTCTCGGTTATCTTCTTTCAGGGAGAAGGCCCAGTCGCCAGTCGAAAAGGCCCCCAACTTTTCTTTAGGTACCAGTTTGGCAAAAAGAGACTCCGATTCTCATGTTTGAATGCTTAGCCATCTGCCCCGGCACAATGTTTCCCTCAGATGTGTGCTAAGCCCTGCGAGTTTGAGAGCCACGGCTGAGGGAAGGCCAAGACGAAATGGCCGCTGAGGAAGGAGGCGCCTCACCATCCCTGAGCCTGCAGTTCCGGGTTGCGCTCGGACAGCACGGCGGGATAAAAACAGAGGCCCAGGACCCTGCTGACGCTCACGATATCCAGATGGTGTGCGTCGGCGAGCCTCATGGGTGGACTGCCTCGACCCATGTCAAGCCGGAACTGGAGGAAGTGCATTGGGAAACCCGAGAAAACGAGGTGTTCTTGAAGGCGAGGCCATCCCCTCGCACAGGGTGGGGAAGCCTGCCACCGAGTCAGGAGGCCCTGCCTTGGGACGGGGTCAAAGTGTTCCCCGCCTCCTTCGAGGGAGCGCTCACGACGTGCAAATGGCTGGCCAGAGAGTGGGGGTCTCGACAGAGGACACCCGCCTCCGAAATGGAAGGGCAGCAAGCGACTGGCACGCCAAACGGTGCCAGAGCGAGGAGGGGCAGCAGGAAAGGGAAGGCCCCTGTTCTTCTGAGCGGTGCGGTCGGGGCAGAGGCCCAGCGCCAGCAGTTCAGGCGCTTCTGCTACCAAGAGGCCGAGGGTCTGCACAACGCCTACGGCCAACTCCGGAGCCTGTGCCATCGGTGGCTGAAGCCGGAGAAGCACTCGAAGGAGCAGATTGTGGAGCTGGTGATCTTGGAGCAGTTCCTGGCTGTCCTGCCCCCGGAGATGCAGAGCTGGGTCAGGGAACGGGAGCCTGAGACCTGTGCCCACGTGATCGCCCTGGCTGAGGATTTCCTGCTAAGGCAACAAGAGGCAGAACAATTGGGGCAGGAGGTGACTGGGGCGGTGGCCGGCCTGAAGTTTGGGAGGTTCACGTGGGAATTTGCTAGATTAGGTGGGGGGAGAGTGCCTGGATCTGTTGATAAACCAGAGTTTAACTTGAGTGGGTGGGGCAAGGGGGGCGGGAGGGAACTGGAAGTGTGGTATAGTGTGTAGAGCAGTGTGGTGTAGTGGTTGGACTCTGGCCACATCCACAGTACACACTGTAGAATCCTAGAATGGAAGAGTTGGAAGGGACCACGTGGGTCATCTGTTTCCACCCCCTGCAATGCAGGAATCTTTTGCCCAACCTGGGGCTCGAACCCATGACCCGGAGGTTAAAAGTCTCATGCTGTACATTCAAAGCATATTCATCACACTTTTCACAGTCATGGCTTCCCCCCAAAGATTCCTGGGAGCTGTAGTTTTGCCCCTCACAAAGGTATAATGCCATCCAAGCTCTGCTTAAAAACCTCCAATGAAAGTCCTTCCTGATGTTTAGTCGGAATCTCCTTTCTTTTAACTTGAATTCATTGGTTCATTGTGGTGCCCAGAACTGGACACAGTGTTCCAGGTGTGCTCTGACAAAGGCAGAATGTTGTTGTTGTTTAGTCGTTTAGTTGTGTCCAACTCTTTGTGACCCCATGGACCAGAGCACACCAGGCACTCCTGTCTTCCACTGCTTCCCGCAGTGGCGGCCAAAATATTGGAGCCTCGGCTTCAGGATCTGTCCTTCCAGTGAGCACTCAGGGCCGATTTCCTTCAGAATGGAGAGGTTTGATCTTCTTGCAGTCCATGGGACTCTCAAGAGTCTCCTCCAGCACCATACAGTGGTGCCTCGCAAGACGAAAAGAATCCGTTCCGCGATTCTCTTCGTCTTGCGGTTTTTTCGTCTTGCGAAGCAAGCCCATTAGTGGATTAGCGCTATTAGCGGCTTAGCGGGCTTAGCGGATCAGCTGATTAGCGGCTTAGCGGATCAGCTGTTAAGCGGCTTAGCGGATCAGCTGATTAGCGGCTTAGCAGCTTGGGAAAAGGGGGGGGAGGAAAAAAAACCTGCAGGAACTTGCAAGACATTTTCGTCTTGCGAAGCAAGCCCATAGGAAATTCGTCTTGCGAAGCACCTCCAAAATGGAAAACGTCTAGCGGGTTTTCCGTCTTGCGAGGCATTCGTCTTGCGGGGCACCACTGTAATTCAAAAGCATCAATTCTTCGGCGCTCAGCCTTCTTTATGGTCCAGCTCTCACTTCCATACATCACTACTGGAAAAACCATAGCTTTGACTATTCGGGCCTTTGTTGGCAAGGTGATGTCTCTGCTTTTTAAGATGCTGTCTAGGTTTGTCATTCAAAGGCAGAATAGAGCCATCCTATTCCTTCCCTTGATCTGGACACTAGACTTCTGTTGGTGCAGCCTAGAATAGCATTAGCTTTTTTTGCTGCTCCATCACAATCATTCCATTGCAATTTACCTTTATGAAATGACACATTTCTTAACAAAAATCGGGGGAAATTTCCTCCCACCTTGGTTTCCATGCCGCCTCTAGGGGATCCTTTCCCTGTCCCAGCTCTGACAGAAACCTTTCCGCTCTTCTTACAGGAGCTGGGACCCTTTGTGGAGGTGATGGTGAATTCTCCCGAGGGAGAGCAAGTTCCATTGGATGCTTGGCAGAGTCCACTCTTCAAGGAGATCAAGCAGAAGGGCGACAGAGATGCAGAAACAATCGGTATGGAGCCACTTAGCTAGCAGGAGTGGGAGGAGGGAGGGGAGGAGCTAATAAGATACCTGAAGGAGCGTCTCCACCCCCATCGTTCAGCCCAGACACTGAGGTCCAGCTAGGAGGTCCTTCTGGCGGTTCCCTCACTGTGAGAAGTGGGGTTACAGGGAACCAGGCAGAGGGCCTTGTCGATAGTGGCTCCTGCCCTGTGGAACACCCTCCTACCAGATGTCAAGGAAATAAACAACTATCTGACTTTTAGAAGACATCTGAAGGCAGCCCTGTTTAGGGAAGTTTTTAATGTTTGAAGTTTTATCGTGTTTTTTATATTCTGTTGGGAGCTGGGGGAAACCCAACCAGATGGGAAAGGTATAATTTATTATTATTATTATTATTATTATTATTATTATTATTATTATTATTATTATTATTAAACTTGTAAGCGAAAGGAAGGCCACACCACTCATTCAAAGCACTTGTCATGGCTTCCCCCAAGGAATCCTGGGAACTGTAGTTTGTTAAAGGTGCCAAAAGTTGTTAAGCCACACACACACACACACACACACACACACACACGGCTTTATTCCCCTCACAGAGCTACAGTTTAACAGTCAATCAATCCCTCTTCCACGGGAACTCTGGGAACTGTAGCTCTGAGAGGGGAATAGGATGCCTCCTAACAGCTCTCAGCGCCCTTAACCACCTACATTTCCCAGGATTCTTTGGGGGAGGCCATTCAGTTGTACCTTGGTTCTCGAACAGAATCCGTTCCAGAAGTCTGTTCAACTTCCGAAAACGTTCAAAAACCAAGGCACAACTTCCGATTGGCTGCAGGAGCTTCCTGCACTCAGTTGGAAGCCGTGTTGGATGTTTGGCTTCCAAAAAACATTCGCAAACTGGAACACTCACTTCCGGGTTTGTGGCGTTCGGGAGCCAAAATGTTTGAATCACAAGGCGTTCCAGAACCAAGGTACAACTGTACTGTTTAATGTGGTATCATACTACTTTGAATGTACAGTGGTGCGTTGGGTTACAGACGCTTCAGGTTACAGATGCTTCAGGTTACAGATTCTGCTAACCCAGAAATAGTACCTCAGGTTAAGAACTTTGCTTCAGGAGGAGAACAGAAATCGTGCGGCGACAGCACAGTGGCAGCGGGAAGCCCCATTAGCTAAAGTGGTGCTTCAGGTTAAGAACAGTTTCAGGTTAAGAACAGACCTCCAGAACGAATTAAGTACTTAACCCGAGGTACCACTGTATAAGGCGGGAAAAAGTGACATTAGATGGGAAACCGCTTCAGTTTTTAAATTATTCTTAAGTGGCATCTAAATCTTATTAAATAAAACTAAAAATGATTTGGCCGGGGTGGGTGGGTGTCGATGACTCAACCGTGTCTTTTCCTTCAGACAGCCGTACGATGTCCCAGGAAGAGGAAGAGGTCGGGCAGCAAAGAGGTTCGGAGTTAGCGGAAGCACGCAGGATGTTCCTGGGCAAATCCGCCGGCCGCCTCACGCTGAGGTGCGAGAGCTTTGAGGAAGCTTGCGGATCGAAGCGGCAGCAGGAGTGGCTTCCCGCGGTGACATGGGAGGAGCCGTCGCACCGGTCGGAAGCCGACGGGCCTGTTCCCGAGGCGGCGCTCCACGGCGTGGCGGTCAAGTACCTTTGCCCCGAGTGCGGCCGGAACTTCCAGCACAAATCGACCTTAATCCGCCACCAGAAGATGCACACGGGCGAGAAGCCCCACATCTGCCTGGAGTGCGGGAAGAGCTTCCGCCGCAGGGACAAGCTGATCCGCCACCAGAGGATCCACACGGGGCAGAAACCCCACGAGTGCGCCGAGTGCGGGAAGAGCTTCCGCGAGAGGGGGAAGCTCACCAACCACCAGAGGATCCATACCGGCGAGAAGCCCTACGCCTGCCCAGCCTGCAAGAAAACCTACCGCTGGAAGGAGGAGTTTGTGAAGCACCTGAGGATCCACACGGGCGAGAGGCCCTACGGGTGCGTGCTCTGCGGCAAGGCCTTCATCAGCAAGGCCCACCTGGTCTCCCACCACCGCAGCCACACCGGAGAGAAGCCCTACGAGTGCGCCGAGTGCCGCCGGCGGTTCTGCAGCAAGCAAAGCCTCGCCAAGCACCAACGGGTCCACGCGGAAGAGAACGCCTACGAGTGCCAGGACTGCGGGAAGGTCTTCCGCTATGTTTCGAACTTCGCCAAACACCAGAGACTCCACACGAGCGACAGGATCCTCTAGGGAGGAATAATTATCATAATTTAATTTTTGTACCCTGCCCATCTGACCAGGTTGCTTCAGCCACTCTAGGCAGCTTCCCACAGAATACAGTGGTACTTCGGGTTACAGACGCTTCAGGTTACATACGCTTCAGGTTACAGACTCTGCTAACCCAGAAATAGTACCTCAGGTTAAGAAGTTTGCTTCAGGATGAGAACAGAAATCGTGCAGTGGCAGCGGGAGGCCCCATTAGCTAAAGTGGTACCTCAGGTTAAGAACAGTTTCAGGCTAACAACGGACCTCCAGAACGAATTAAATTCTTAACCAGAGGTACCACTGTATGCTAAAACACCACAGGCCGTTGTCGCACGTTAAAAGCTTTCCAATGCAGAGCTGCCTTCAGATCTCTATGGAAAGTGGTATAATTATCTCCTTGGCATCTGAGGGCAGGATGCATGAGTGTAGCCAGTATTTATGTTGGGGGGCAGACACGCGCCTGTCATCCTCCTCTGTCTGGCTCTGTCCAGCAGATTCGGAATGAAACGTCTCAACAACCGTTCTTTTAAATTACTTTCTTTTGACCCTAAGTGCTCGGGGGAAATCTGTCAAAGCCTTCAGTCATTTGTAAGCTAGGAAGTTAAATAAAAAATGAACATCATCGACTGAGGGCTTTCTGCTGTATAGAAACTTCCAGTTGTTTCTAGGCTGATGGTGCGCGCTCTCAGGAGAAGTGCTGGAAACGATGAGAAGCTTCCAGAACTGAGCTACCTGCAACGCGATTGGTCAGTTCACGGAAGCCATGCTGATCGCTCAGTTGGGTTGCCAGTTGGGTTGCTAGAATGCACCACATCATCCAAGTGACCTCAGCGAGCATTTCAATTTCAAATATTCTGATTCATTTAATTATTTTTATTTATTTACTTGATGGGGGGGGAGCTGCCCTGCCCCCTCAGCTACGCCCATAGGTGGGCATTCCACAAGGCAGCCGCCACTGTCGAGAAGGCCCTCTGCCTGGTTCCCTGTCGCTTCACTTCTCGCAGTGAGGGAACCGCCAAAAGACCTTCAGAGGAGGACCTTAGTGTCCGGCGGCTGAATGATGGAGGTGGAGATGCTCCTCTAGGAACAATTATCGTTCCATGATAAAAATCCACTTCTCCTTTGGCACTGTCAGACACCACAGCTTGTCTCCTGAGCCCCCCAAAATCCCACCAGCCTGCAGACATGAGAGAATCCACTTGCTCGGTGGAAGGGCCTTATCTCATCCGCCTTTCATGCAGAGGTTCCAGGTTCAATTGCCCAAAAGCATTTTCAGGGACAGCAGGGAAGAGTCTCCCTGCCAGAAACCCTGGACAGCAGCTGCCCGTCAGTGTAGACACTACTGAACTAGATGGAGCAACAGTCAGGTTCAGGAGAAGGCATCTTCCTGTTATCCTGTTTATAACTGCTTATAAAACCTATTGCCTCGTTTTGGTTAGCCTTGTATGCTCAAAATCTTTGTAGCCACATAAGGCTAGACAGCTGTGTATTTCTTTTTTTGTCTGAATGTGAGGAATGATGGTCTATTTGTTGAACTAAGCTATGCTGGCTAATTTGAGCAGGGAAACCCTCTGCTCAGTGGACAAACATTTTGAGAAGCAATTTACACAGCCGACCACCAACAGATTTCAGTGACTTCAGTGACAGAAACCACTTAAACCATTCAAGGGCCAAATGTGGATTTGCCTCAGACAAGAGTCATTTTAAAAAGCCTTGATAATGGAGAGAAAGGCTTCAGAACGTTTTGACCGCAGAATCACAGCTGAACGGTGGAAGTATGAACGGCCACAGGGAACGTTTCTAGAGAAAAACTTGGATCTGAACTGGCAGGTCCTTTCCCAAACCCCCTGGTCTCAATCCATAACATCGTGAGCTGGTGCTTCTATGTGCAGTTTAGGAAACGCTGGTAAAATTAGTAACGCACTTTCTCAAGTGTTTCTGTTGTGATTCTTTCTCCTCCACTTTGGTGTTTCTTCGTGTGACATAAAAAAGGTAAAGGGACCCCTGACAGTTCAGTCCAGTCGCGGATGACTCTGGGGTTGCGGCGCTCATCTCGCTTTACTGGCCGAGGGAGCCGGCGTACAGTTTCCGGGTCATGTGGCCAGCATGACTAAGCTGCTTCTGGTGAACCAGAGCAGCGCACAAAAACACCGTTTACCTTCCCGCTGGAGTGGTACCTATTTATCTACTTGCACTTGGATGTGCTTTCGAACTGCTAAGGTAAAGGTAAAGGTACCCCTGCCCGAACGGGCCAGTCTTGACAGACTCTGGGGTTTGTGCGCCCATCTCACTCTATAGGCCGTGGGCCAGCGCTGTCCGGAGACACTTCCGGGTCACGTGGCCAGCGTGACAAAGCTGCATCTGGCGAGCCAGCGCAGCACACGGAACGCCGTTTACCTTCCCGCTGGTAAGCGGTCCCTATTTATCTACTTGCACCCAGGGGTGCTTTCGAACTGCTAGGTTGGCAGGCGCTGGGACCGAGCAGCGGGAGCGCACCCCGCCGCGGGGATTCGAACCGCCGACCTTTCGATCGGCAAGCCCTAGACGCTGAGGCTTTTACCCACAGCGCCACCCGCGTCCCTTTTCGAACTGCTACATGGGTATTATTATTAGTAGTAGTAGTAGTTGTAGTAGTAGTAGTACTGTTATTATTATAAATTATTACCTGCCCCTCACCCTAAGATCCCAGGGCAGGTTAGAGCAATTTAAAAACATAATTAATATTAGAAAGAGTGTAAAACAACTTGAAATTACAAAAAGAAGTTGAGTCCTGAAAATAGACACCTCAGGGTCGAAAGCATTGTTTGTTATAAAACCATGGCTCGTGTGGTGAAGGTGAACAGGGTTGTATATACGCTGTACCTTTAAAGCACATCCTTTCCCTCAAAGAATTCTGAGCCTTGTAGTTTACCCCTCACAGTTACAATGCCCAGCAGCCCTTAACAAACTACAGTGCCCAGAATTCTTTGAGGTGGGAAGAACGCGCTCTGAATGTGCTTTAAAGGTAGTGTCTTGTACGAAGCCTAGGAAAGCTGTCTCTCTCATAACATTAGAAACGGGGGTCATCCAGCGAATCTGACTGGCTGGACTTTCAAGCAATGAGGAAGGTGGTAGAGCATCTGCTCTGCAAATAGGCAGCACGGTGTAGCGGTTAGAGTGCTGACCTAGGACTTGGGAGATCAGGGTTAAAATCCCCACTCGGCCATGACACTCGCTGGCCAGTCACTGTCTCTCAGCCTAAGCTACCACACAGTGTTGGAACCGTAGGATCATAGATTTGGGAACCCCAAGGGAAACCTAGTTCAACCACCTTGAGCTCCTGGGATGCTGATGCTGCAGAAAGGTCCCTGGTTCAAACCCCAGCATCTCTAGGTAACATTGGGAGAGACCTTCCCTTCTGAAACCTTGGAGAGCCCCTGGCAGTCTGTGTAGAGAACACAGACTATCAAAATCAGCTTGGTAGCTTCCTCAGTTTGTCACGGGTTCCCAAAGTCATGTGGCTTAAAAGGCGTTGCTTCTTTTCACTTGTGATGCAAAGAGGGCATCTATTGGGAAAGATCAACAACACAGCCCTCACAAATCTGCTCAGAAGGAAGCCTGATGGAATCCGGCGGGGCTTTCTCTCAGGTAAGTGGGGTTCGCTGGCTCTGCTAAAACAGAAAATACGTTCACATATCATAGAATATCCCCTACACAATTATTAATAATTAATAATCTGCAATTATTAAGTTCGCAGATGACACCACCATAATGGGTTTAATAACAGCTGGAGACAAATCAGCGTATAGAGGGGAGGTCGCAAAAATATCTACATGGTGCCTAGGGAACAACTTGCACCTTAATATCAGCAAGACAAAGGAGATGGTGTTGGACTTTTGGAGGAGAAGAGAACTAGCCCCGCTGTACATCAGGGACGGCTGTGTGGAGAGAGTCTCTTCCTTTAAATTCCTAGGAGTTTATCTCAGTGAAGACCTTACTTGGAAAATAAATACAACCCAGGTGGTTAAGAAAACCCAACAAAGACTCCATCTCCTCAGAATATTGCGTAAGAATAATGTCAATCAACACTTGATGATCTCCTTCTACCGGTCCACAATAGAAAGTGTCCTTTCATACTGCATCACGGTGTGGTGCGCTGGTTTGACATCATCTGACAGGAAGTGCCTACAGAGGGTGGTGAATACAGCACAAGATATTATGGGTTGTCCCTTGAATCCACTGGATGAAATAGCGGAAGAACATTGCCTCAGGAGAGTGATGAAAATTCTCAGGGATGATTCACACCCTGGCCGGCACTTTCTTGATCTCCTGCCCTCAGGCAGAGGATATAGAAGCATGATTAGTCGCACCAACAGGGTAAATAACAGCTTCTATCCGTGGGCTGTTAGGCTGCTGAATGAAAAGATAACAACAGGGCAACTGACTTATGGGTTTGGTGGGTGTGCGTCAGTAAAGGAGGGGAATTAAGACTAAGAGAGCTGAGTGGGGGGTGATCGTATAATCTCACTGTATACAAGTTGTACAAGTGACAATAAAGTATTTCAATTTACAATGCAGGAATCTCAACTAAAGCATCCCTGACAGATAGGATGATCAGTGACAGGGTGGGGGGGGTGGCGGCAAATGCAGCCTCTCCCCAGGCCATGCCTGCAGCTGACTTTGCTTCAAATTCTCCCTGGGTTTTTGGGCCTGGCGGATGTGCCCTTGAGCCCCAGTGATTGCCTGGAAGGAGGGTGGAGAGGGCCGTGTGTGCATGTGTGGACACCAGCCCACTGTGCAAAGGCAATGTTCACGTTTGCTCCACCCACTTCTGCCCCGGCTCCTCCCACCACTTGCATGTGGCCCCCAGTAGGGAAAACCTGAAAATGGTTCTCTGCCCTTGCTCTGTTCCAAATCGGGTTCTGTGCACCCCACTGGGTGAGTGGTGGCAGCAGAATGTTTGCAGGCAGAAATTCAACCAGTGCCACTTCCCCAAACATTTGCTGCCTACGCACCCCATGAATTTCTGCCCAGCCCCCCAGCCCCCAAAACACACTCGGCTGCTCTGCTGCAGATACAACTGACGGGGATGTGAGTTAATGCAGCAGGTACAAAGCTGTGCAGAATCATGTTAGGTAAAGGTAAAGGGACCCCTGACCATTAGGTCCAGTCGTGGCCGACTCTGGGGTTGCAGAGCTCATCTCGCTTTACTGGCCAAGGGAGCTGACATACAGTTTCCGGGTCATGTGGCCAGCATGACTAAGCCACTTCTGGCGAACCAGAGCAGCGCACGGAAACACCGTTTACCTTCCTGCCGTAGCGGTACCTATTTATCTACTTGCACTTTGACGTGCTTTCAAACTGCTAGGTGGGCAGGAGCAGGGACCGAGCAACGGGAGCTCACCCCGTCACGGGGATTCAAACCGCCGACCTTCTGATTGGCAAGTCCTAGGCTCTGTGGTTTAACCCACAGCGCCACCCGCATCCCTGGCCATTGCCCGTGCTTGCTGGGGCTGATGGGAGTTGTAGTTTGACATCTGGAGGGACGAAGGCTGACTGAAGCAGAGCCTCTGGCCCTCCACATTTCTGAATACAGCTCCAGAAACACTCCCTAGTCCCAGTTTTCCGCACTGGGGAGCTGTAAACCTGTCTGGCCTCCCCTATTCCCCAGCACTGGGATCGGACGTAAATCAAGCTGTCCCCAGAGGAACCTGCCTTTTTTTCTGCATGGGCAACTCAGCTTCTAGCCTACCTCACAGGGTCATTCTGAGGATGGTGTGAGACCCAACGGCAGTGCCCTGGGGCCAGGGGAGAATAAACAGTATAGTCAATAATAATAAACGTTGTTTAGTCATTTAGTTGTTTCCGATTCTTCGTGACCCCAGGGACCAGAGCACGCCAGGCACTCCTGTCTTCCACTGCCTCCCGCAGTTTGGTCAAACTCATGTTGGTAGCTTCGAGAACACTGTCCAACCATCTCTGTCGTCCCCTTCTCCTTGTGCCCTCCATCTTTCCCAGCATCAGGGTCTTTTCCAGGGAGTCTTCTCTTCTCATGAGGTGGCCAAAGTATTGGAGCCTCAGCTTCAGGATCTGTCCTTCCAGTGAGCACTCAGGGCTGATCTCCTTAAGAATGGATAGGTTGGATCTTCTTGCAGTCCATGGGACTCTCAAGAGTCTCTTCCAGCACCATAATTCAAAAGCATCAATTCTTTGGCGATCAGTCTTCCTTATGGTCCAGCTCTCACTTCCATACATCACTACTGGGAAAACCATAGCTTTAACAATACGGACCTTTGTCGGCAAGGTGATGTCTCTGCTTTTTAAGATACAGTGGAACCTCTGGATGCGAACGGGATCTGTTCCAGAGCCCTGTTCGCATCCTGAAGCGAACGTAAGACACAAATGTGCACCTGCACGTACGTGGGTCGCGTTTCGCCTCTTCCACGCATGATGTCCTTTGGAGCATCTGCGCATGCGCAAGCAGCGAAACCCGGAAGTAACGCACTCCATTATGTCCGGGTTGCCGCGGAGCACAACCCGAAAATATTTAAGCTGAAGCGTATGCATCCCGAGGTATGACTGTACTGTCTAGGTTTGTCCCCTTAAGGAGTCTCAAAGCAGCTAACAATCTCCTTTCCCTTCCTCCCCCACAACAAACACTCTGTGAGTTGAGTGAGGCTGAGAGACTTCAGAGAAGTGTGACTAACCCAAGGTCACCCAGCAGCTGCAGGTGGAGGTGCAGGGAATCGAACCCGGTCAGTGGCGTAGCGTGGGGGGTGCAGGGGGGGCCGGCCGCACCGGGCGCAACATCTGGGGGTTAGGGTTAGGGGGCGCAAATCCACGGGTTAGGGGGCGCAAATTACTTGCCTTGCCCCGGGTGGTGACAACCCACGCTACGCCACTGAACCCGGTTACCCAGATTACGAGTTCACCGCTCTTAACTACTACACCACACAGAGGCAATTATGCCTCTGAATACCATTTGCTGGAAACCACAGTGCGGGGGAAGTGCTCTTTTGCTCTGGTCCTCCTTGAAGATTTCCCACAGGCCACTGTGACTTGAAACAGGATGCTGGGCTGTGGTCCCAAGGGATGCTAAACAGAAATGGCCCTCCGCTTTCTGAGCAATTTGCTTTATGGCCGTTCACCAAAGGGGTTAAGTTCATGGAGACTTGCATTTCCTAGAGATACTAAGAGGCTTTGGGAGCAGAGGGATGCGAAGAGAGCGCAACTCACTTCCTGCCCCGCCTACTGTGGGAAAGCAGGGGTTTAAATTTCCCAGGCGCTGCAGGAGGAGCAGCGGTGCTGATCTCCCACCTCCCTTGTTCTTTTTAGGAAAGATCAGGTGAGTGGGGGAAAGTGGGTTTGCAGCAGGAAGAGATGGAGAATTTCAGCTCAGAGATTCTCCGGTTGGGCTTCTGTGCCTTTCGTAACTGGGTGGCTGGCAGAAGTTGAACAGGTGAAGCCTTCCTCCATCATGGCATTTCTGGGTTTGGGGGCAGCTGCACCTGCTGGATTTCTGCCCTGGGGTTAGCTTGTGATGGTGTCTTTTTGCACGCACACACGCCCTTCCTCGGTTGGATCGCTCTGAATCAAGGACCTCGGGAGATAGCTCAGTCGGTAGAGCATGAGATTCTTAATCTCAGGGTCGTGGGTTTGAGCCCCACTTTGGGCAAAAGATCCCTGCATTGCTGGGGGCAGGACTAGATGACTCCTGTGGTCCCTTCCACCTCTGCAATTCTGTGATTTTAGGCTTCTTGGGTTGATAAAGCATTCAGTGGCAGAATACGCCTCTGGTATCAATTTTTGGGAATCACAAGTTGGAGGTGTCAGTGCTGTTATGCTGTCATGTCCTGCTTGGTGTTTCCTATTGGGGTGTCTGCTTTGGCCACTGTGAGAAGAGAATGCCAGACTAGATGGGCCACTTAGAATCATAGAATCATAGAGTTGGAAGAGACCACAAGGGCCATCGAGTCCAACCCCCTGCCAAGCAGGAAACACCATCAGAGCACTCCTGACATATGGTTGTCAAGCCTCTGCTTAAAGACCTCCAAAGAAGGAGACTCCACCACTCTCCTTGGCAGCAAATTCCACTGTCGAACAGCTCTTACTGTCAGGAAGTTCTTCCTAATGTTTAGGTGGAATCTTCTTTCTTGTAGTTTGGATCCATTGCTCCGTGTCCGCTTCTCTGGAGCAGCAGAAAACAACCTTTCTCCCTCCTCTATGTGACATCCTTTTATATATTTGAACATGGCTATCATATCACCCCTTAACCTCCTCTTCTCCAGGCTAAATATAATTATTTACTAATTATATTTTATATCCCACCTTACCTACGAGGAACTCAAAGTGGAAGACATAGTCCTCTCCAATTTATCCTCAGAACAGCCCTTGGGGGTAGGCTAGGCTGAGAATTGCTGACTGGCCCAAGATTAAGTTTACCAGATTTTTTTCAATGAATCCAGGGACATTTTTCAACTTCAATTTTGTATGGGGACTGATTTGTAAATCCAGGGACTGTCCCTAGGAAACGGGGACGTCTGGTAACCTTACCCAAGATCACCCTGTGAACTTCATGGCCGAGGGTGATTTGAACCCTGGTCCCCCAGGTCCTGGCCCAACATGCCTTAGTCTTATTCCCTAAAAGAGCTGTGGGTGTTGATTGTATTGAATATGTATGAACACAGGCGTGGAAGGAGAAACATGGGCAGGAGCGTGAAATAAATCTCTGCTAAATGAAGAATATGTCATAGCTCAGGGGTAGATCCCCCGCTTTGCATGTGGAAAGTCCCAGGTTCATAGAGTTATATGGCTAGAAATGAGCAGGGATGTAATCTATTCAATGCTTTTGTTCAATGCGTCCCTGTGCGGCCTCTGCTTAAACATCTCCAGCGAAGAAGAGGCCATTGGTTTATTGTGATATTTATCCAAAATCTGCATCTTCCCTGCGGTTTCCTCCTACAGGTTCTAAGTCTAGGGTTGCCATATTTCAAAAAGTAAAAACCAGGAAACCCCAAAAATTAATGATTTTTTTTTAGGAAGACCCCAAAGTTGTTGAGCTTTTTTCTTACCAAACCTCAAAAAAACCACGATTTTGCAATTGACTTGCCTAAGATCAAGGGCAATTTTTCAATTCTGCATTTGAAATCCTAGTACATGTGGCAGCCCTATATCTAGTCCGATCCCCTGGGGCGACAGAGAATGACATTCACGCCTTTTGAAAACACTCTTGTTCCATTTTAAGAGACATGGACAGTTGTTAAAGGTAAAGGGACCCCTGACCATTAGGTCCAGTCGGGACCGACTCTGGGGTTGCGGTGCTCATCTCGCTTTACTGGCCGAGGGACCCGGCGTACAGCTTCCGGGTCATGTGGCCAGCATGACTAAGCTGCTTCTGGCGGAACCAGAGCAGCGCACGGAAACGCTGTTTACTTTCCCGCTGGAGCGGTACCTATTTATCTACTTGCACTTTGACGTGTTTTCGAACTGCTAGGTTGGCAGGAGCAGGGACCGAGCAACGGGAGCTCACCCCATCGCGGGGATTCGAACCGCCAACCTTCTGATTGGCAAGCCCTAGGCTCAGTGGTTTAGACCACAGCGTCACCCGTGCCCCTAAGAAACTCTTAGCAAGCTACAGTTCCCAGGATTCTTTGCAGGAAGCCATGATTGTGGAGTGGTATTAAGTGCATATGTTTAGCCTTGGTTTGATCTAGCAGTGCTTGTCTTGTATTATTATGAAATTAATATATATCTCCTTTTTTTCCCTCCTCAGGAAGCTTAAACTTCCCTTCCAAACCGCTTGCATGTCTGCACACCCAGCAGCTTCGTGAGGTCAAAAGCTTCACAGTCTGGGCTTGCGGAAAGAACTGGTAACTTGGGCTCGGGCGGACATTTGCCGGGAAGAAATAAAATGGCAGCCAAGCCGAGGGACGGATTGGTGCTGGGTCTCCAGCCCGAGGCTGGGCCTCAACAGGGAGTGAAATTGGAGCAACCGGACCTAGCAGCCCTTGACCCAGGAGTGGGGAACGGCCCGCACGTCATACAGGCCAGGAATACCAGGGAATTCTGGGAGAGAAACATGTCGGGCCACGTCAAGCAGGAGCCACAGAAGGGGCTGCAGCAGCCATGGGAGGCCCAGCTGCAGGAGTTCCTCAGAGCGATGGAGTCTTCCCACTCCGACGGGAGAAACCAGCACCAGCGGACATTGGCGTTGCGGGATGAGGCCCACCCCGTCCTGCCTCCTTCGGTGGGAATGGATGGCGCCAGGCTGCATCTGAGGAGAGAGATGACAACCCCTCTCCTGCCAGGGCCCTGCAGAGAAGCCCAACAGCCAGCTAACAGCCTCTTGGCCAAAGAGACAGGAGAGTCCGGGAAAGTCAAGGAAGAGGTCCTGAAGGAGGAGGAGAACGGCGTGGCCACTGGCATGGATGCTGAGCGCCAGCGCTTCCGGCAGTTCGGCTACCAGGAGGCTGAGGGGCCTCGAGAGACTTGCAGCCGCCTCTGGGATCTTTGCCACTGGTGGCTGAAGCCGGAGAGGCGCAGCAAGGAGCAGATCCTGGAGCTGGTGATCCTGGAGCAGTTCCTGGCTGTCCTGCCACCTGAGATGCAGAGCTGGGTCAGGAAAGGCGGGCCAGAGAGCTGCTCGCGGGCGGTGGCCTTGGCGGAAGACTTCCTGCTAAGGCAGCGGCCCGAGGAGCAGCGGCCCGAGCAGGTGAGTGTCTGCTTCTCCCTGCTACCTTCCTCTTTTTTTTATTTTATTGGAAGTTTTATTTACAACATAACATAAACCCCCCACCCCCCCAATACAGAAATCCACCCTCATTAAACGTGAACATAACACACAATAAACATAACATACAACAATACAAACAACCAAATAAAAGACTTCCTCTATCCTGTATCTGGCCTCCTTATTTACTTCTTATAAGCTGTTTCCTTTATGAATAATTATTAAGATTTTTCTAATAACTTAAGTATCCACAAAGTCTCCTGCAGACATTAATCGAAACAAGTCCAGGTATGTATTTTAGGGCACTGTTTTGTGAAGTATTCTCTGCATTTTCCCCATGCTTTTTGAAACTCTCATCTAGTGTGGTCTCTAATTGCCTCTAGCCAGTTCAATATACTCTAACAGTTTGTCTTGCCATTCCTTTTTCGTTGGCACAATTTCTTTTCCCCAGTTTTTAGCAGTTAGGATCCTCGCCGCTCCTGTGGCATAGAGGAATATTTGGAGGAATATTCTGCTTTCTCCCTGCTACCTGTGAGGCTTTCAGAGTTGCAGAGAGGAATATTTGGAGACGGGACGCATTCACAGCATACATTAAGGCACTATAACAGTCATGGCTTCTCCCAAAGGATTCTGGGAGCTGTGTTTTAAGGATGCTGAGTGTCGTTCAGAAACCCCCGTTTTCCTCAGAGCTGCAGTTCTCAGAGTGCTTTAACAGTCAATCCCTCTTCACAGGGAGCTCTGGGAATTGACGGCCTGGGGGGGGAAGGGGGCTTCCCAACAACTCTCAGTGCCCATAACAGACTCCCATAATTCTTTGGGGGAAGCCATGACTATTCAACATGGTCTCCTAGTGTTTTAAGTGGGGTGACTGTTGGCCTTAATGGACGGACAGTGGCAGAGCTCTTACTTCGGATACAGGAATATTCATAGGTTCATTCCCTGGCATCTTCAGTTCGAAAAAGGGCCTGACCACAAGGGATGGGAATAATCCTTCTTTGCATGTGACCTCGATAGCTGCTGCCAGTCAGAACAGACAACATGAAGCTAGATGGGGAAGAAACTTAATTCATTGTCCACACTTAGCAAGCAGAAGGTCCCAGGTATCTGAAACCCAGGGTGTGGGTGTGTGCTTCTAGCCTGTGAATGGTCTGAGTATGCCCTACAGTAACCAAAATAATCACACATTTTCCCCTTCCTCTCCCACCCACCTATATATATATATTTTAAAAATTAGTGTAAGCCCTTTGGGGCAGGAGCGAAGCGCCATGCCCACCGGGCTGGGGCTGGATAAGTAAGAACAATCTCTCCCTCTGTTTCAGGTGCCGGGGGTGTCCAAGGAGGGGTCTGCCAAGATCCCTGAAGTGGAGGCGTCTCCCTTGGGTGCCTGGCCAAGGCCTCTCTTCAGAGAGATCAAACAGGAAGGTGACAAAGAAGCAGCCTTGCTGGGTAAGGATTCCTGGTGGCAGAGTTTTAACCACATTGCTTCTCCCATGTTTTCCTTTGGTCCTGCCCAGCAGTGGCATATGGCCCTCAGAAGGTTCTGCAGAAGGGAATGTGGCCCTCACACTGAACAAAGTCTAAACAGAGAACATTGTCCTTCAGGTAACCTGGTGCCAAGCTCCTCAGGGCTCTGCACATTAATAGCAAGCCTTTGAACATGGCTTCGTAGCTAACAGGCAAACAGCAAATAACACTGAGATTCTCTCCTTATTCCTTTAAAAAAAAAAAAAAATATTGAGTTTTCCATATCTAGTTACATTTCATTACATGAATCTATAACATAAAGCATTGCTCAGACAGAGCACCGACTTCCTTCCCTCCCTCTTTCTGACTTCCAAACATCTTTTTTTTTAAAAAAAAAAAAATTTTTATTAACAGGCTAATCAAATCACATTATTTCCAAATCACATTAGTTCCAAATTATACAGCTAGATTTTTAAATTTTATTGGGGGTACACTCTCCAAAAATCATATCACATAGGGACAGACGCCATTCCACACTTCCGTAAAGAATTTATCCTCGGTCTGTCCTTTAATTTTCCCAGGCTTGCCAAGTATATCACAGAGGGCTCTGCCAGGGTTAGATCACAATCCAATCATCATTCACATTCCGATGATCCTGGTCCTCCTCCCCCCGTCTTTCTTAGACAAGCCTGTCTTAGCGACACGCCATTTAAAACTGTGTCAAAAAATTTTCCTCCATACTCCGATGTTTACCAATCCTCTCTTTGATCAATGATTCACTCCACACAGTTCTTGAATTCCTGCTTGTGATTAATATAATGCAAAGATCTTCTTTCTGGGGTGGAGGGTTATTAATACTCGCATAAGGCAAAGAAAATAAAAGTTTTTTCCTCCACCCCCCCCTTCCGTTTTGCTCCAAACATACCAGTCTCTTAATGGTGATTCATCACTTGATATATTTGTCCCGCCCGTCGCTCCGGTCATAGAGATCCATTAATCAGCATTCTTATCTCCCGAACTTCGCTTGATGTATGTGCTTTAGCTTCTTTCCAATTATATGTTTCCAATTATATTTTCGAGCTAAAGCGAACCCAGGCGCTGGTTGGAGACAGCATCAGGAAGAGCCGACTTCACCGAGGGCTTGTGCCAAGTGACCGGCACCCCCTTCTTTCGAATCCGGGGGTGCGTTATGGACACCGCTGGCAAGGCATTCCCCCCCATCTCCTTGGGGGGGGGGGGCGGGAAGGCTGCATACTTCCCATAGCAGCCTCTTAATTACCTCGTGTGGGTCGGAGAGATGTTATTGTCGGCCATCTTCCAATGCGCCACCTGGTGGCCCCCCCTGACTTCCAAACATCTATTAATAAATTTTCGCATTTCTATAACCACTTTTTTTACTTTAAATCTTCTTTTTTATAAAAATTACCTCCTTATATGTAAATCGGTTCCTTATTTTCACATTACAAAGCATTTCAATTCAAACCTACAAGCATTTTCAAATGTTTACAATTTTCTTTCATATAAAATATAAATTTGCTCCAGTCCTTCTGAAACAGTTCGTCCTTATTCCAGCAGGAGGTGGGCAGGAGCAGAACATACAAGAAAATGCCAGGAAACGGGAACCGCACTGGGTGCTGCCAGGAAGGGGCGGGCAGAATGCCTCTGGCTGGCCCAATCGGGGCGAAGCGTCTGCCAGCCAGGAGGAAGCGTACCCCGAGAAAGAACAGGACAAGTTTATAAATTCCCAGGGCAGGTACGTGGAATTCGATGGGAATGCAGCCCAGCTCACCGTCCCTGCACCAAGCGAGTCGCAGAAGCCGGCTCATGAGAGGCAGAAGTCCTGCGCCCACTGCGGGAAGGACTTCCAGCTGAAGTGCAACCTGCAGGCCCACGAGAGGACCCACACGGGCGAGAAGCCCTACAAGTGCTCCGTCTGCGGGAAGGGCTTCAGCACGAGGGCGTACCTGATCACCCACGAGAGGATCCACACGGGCGAGAAGCCGTACCAGTGCTCGGACTGCGGCAAGAGCTTCTGTGACAACTCCAACCTGATAGTCCACCGGAGGACCCACACGGGCGAGAGGCCCTACAAGTGCACGGACTGCGGGAAGAGCTTCCGGGAGAGGCCGGTGCTCATCCGGCACCAACGGATCCACACGGGAGAGAAGCCCTACAAGTGCAGGGACTGCGGCAAGAGCTTCAGCCAGAGCTCGGGCCTCCTGGTGCACGAAAGGACCCACACGCGAGAGAAGCCCTACACGTGCACGGACTGCGGGAAGAGCTTCGGCGGCAACTCGAACCTCAGGGTCCACATGAGGATCCACACCGGGGAGAAGCCCTACAGGTGCTCGGACTGCGGGAAGATCTTCAGCGACCGCTCACTTCTTGTGCGGCATCAGAGCACCCACCAAGAGGGGAAGTGTTAGAAAAGGGCGGGGGAACAACACACAAACTGGAGTTTCACAGTTCCATACTGTCTAGGAAAATGACATTTTGATGCACACATGTACCCCACTCACACGTACAGTGGTACCTCAGGTTAAGTACTTAATACATTCTGGAGGTCTGTTCTTAACTTGAAACTGTTCTTAACCTGAAGCACCACTTTAGCTAATGGGGCCTCCTGCTGCTGCCACACCGCAGGAGCACAATTTCTGTTCTCATCCTGAAGCAAAGTTCTTAACCCGAGGTACTATTTCTGGGTTAGCAGAGTCTGTAACCTGAAGCGTCTGTAACCCAAGGTACCACTGTACATTTAACATGCTGTGGTACCGCTTTAAACAGTCATGGCTTCCCCCAAAGGATTCTGGGAGCTGTGTTCTGTTAAACGTGCTCAGAGTTGTTAGGCGGACCTCTCTTCCTTTCACAGAGCCACAATTTCCAGAGCTCCCTGTGAAGAGGGAATAATAATAATAATAATAATAATAATAATAATAATAATAATATTTATACCCCGCCCATCTGGCTGGGTTTCCCCAGCTACTCTGGGTTGCTCCCAACAGAACATTAAAAACATGGTAAAACATCTAACATAAAAAACTTCTCTAAACAGGGCTGCCTTCAGATGTCTTCTAAAAGTCTGAGAGTTGTTTATTTCCTTGACATCTGATGGGTGGGCGTTTCACAGGGCGGGCGCCACTACCGAGAAGGCCCTCTGCTTAATATCAAACCACTCAGGGAGTCGTAACTCTGCGATGGGAATAGAGGCCTCTCAGCACCCTTAGCAAACCACAGTTCCCATGATTCTTTGGGGAAAACCATGACTGTTTATAGAACCATAGAGTTGGTCCTGTGGGTCGTCTAGTTCAACCCCCTGCAATGCAGGAATCTCAGCTAAAGCATCCATGATAGATGGCCATTCAAACTCTGCTCAGAAACCTCCAAGGAAGGAGAGGCCACAACCTCCCGGGGGACTGTTTCGCTGTCAAGCAGATGTTACTGTCAACAAGTTCTTCCTGGTGTTTAGTCAGAATCTCTTTTTTTGTAACTTGAATCCGGCAGAGGTGTGAATGTGGCTGTAGTTGCCTTACGACCCACCCTGATTACGCCCAGACTCTTTTTAAAAATGCATCTTTCTGCCTTTTAATAAGAACCACATGGCAAAATGGCTGAGTGGGAAGACCTAGAAAGCGTCTCATGTCCACAACCAGGCAATAAATAGCTTTATCAGGGCTGACCAAGATGCCAGGAAAGCACAAGCCATTCTCAAGGTCCACCGAACTCTTCCATCAGGTTGGACATTAAGCAAAGCAGGAGGGAGAGGGAGGGAGGGAGGGAATCGCTGGCTTGGTCACTGTCTAGCCGCAAAGTCACATTCTTTGAAAATCCGAATAGGAGAGCCGCAGCAAACGTGCAGGGAATCTCTAGGGTTAGGGAAGAGAAATTGTGGGACAGCAGCCTTTGGAGGAGAACACCAGATGGACGAGGTGGGATTAATAATAATAATAATAATAATAATAATAATAATACAATTTATTTATACCCTGCCCTCCCTGGCCAGAGCCGGCTCAGAGCAGCTAACACCAATAAAATCACAGTAAAAACATAATAGGGGAAAAAGAGAGGTCGGGGGAAAGGAAAAGGGGGGGGAACAATTTAAAATACGGGTTAAAATATAATTTAAAATGCAGCCTCATTATAAAGTAGCTGATAAATCAAGACCATAAGGGGAGGGAAACATAAGGGTCAGACGGAGTCCAAACCAAAGGCCAGGCGGAACAGCTCTGTCTTGCCGGCCCTGCAAAAAGATGTCAAGTCCCGTAGGTCCCTAGTCTCTTGTGACAGAGCGTTCCACCACGTCGGAGACAGTGCTGAAAAGACCCTGGCCCTAGTTGAAACCAATCTAACCTCCTTGAGGCTCGGGACCTCCAAAACGTTGTCATTTGTGGACCTTAAAGTCCTCCGCGGTGCATACCAGGAGAGGTGGTCCCGTAGGTACGTGGGTCCTAGGCTGCATAGTCAAAACCAGCACCTTAAACCTCACCCTGTTCTCCACCGGGAGCCAGTGCAGTTGGTAAAGCACTGGATGAATGTGATCCCGCGGCAAGGACCCCATAAGAAGCCTCGCCATGGCATTCTGCACCCGCTGAAGTTTCTGGGTCAGCTTCAAGGACAGCCCCGCGTAGAGCGAGTTACAATAATCAAGCCTGGAGGTGACCGTCGCATGGATCATTAAAGGAAGAGCAAGCGATTCACAGTCCACATTAAGCCGAGGTATGACCAGGCCATGTGACTTAATGCAGACTTCATGGCTACAGCATCTTAGGTGGTTCCTCACTGCCCTTTCCCTCCTGCCCTCTGCTCTGCTTAACTTCCAGCCTGATTTCTGGAGAAGTGGAAAGCTTTGCTGACCACTGAGCACCTGTGACTCTCCACTCAGGAAAGGCCCTCTTTTCTTGTGCGGTGGTGGAAAAGTACACAGAGCTGGAGGGGTGATGGGAGTCATATTCCAGCAAAAACCTGGAAGGTCCCAGCTTCCGCAGCCCTGTCAAAGAGACTAGTCCTCAAGCAAACGGCAGCCAGAGTGGCATGCTGTTCACAATTCCACTGCCCCTTTGACACATGTCATTTAGCAAGGGGAACGAAACCCTAGTACAGTAGTAGCTTAGTAGCAGTTAGGGGTACAGGCCGAAGTTTCTAGTAGGTTTTAAGTTTGTAGGGTATAACTCTGTAGCATGTACACGTTCCTTGCCACTTCTAGCGGGAGGGAGGTGGGTTTGAAGGGCGAAGAGTACGAAATGCGATGCTGACGAATGCTGATTTGTATATATGCAGAGTTTTAAATTTAAGATTTCTCTTCTCCCCCACTGCCCAGCCTCTGTGTCAGCAGTTCTTCCAGGAGTGGCTCCATGTTTTGGGATTAGCTTTGCCCTAGGATAGGGAAATTTGTCATTAGAAAGACGTATGACTCATATAGCTAATAGATTTTTTTCGTTCCTAGGTAGTTTAGGGGTTCTATGATGATCAGGTTTGGTTTGTTTGGGTATTTTCCCCCAATCCAAGAATTTTAGAGAAAATGTTTTTATGGACATGTAAGAAACACTGATTATAACAAATAAAAAGGAGTTCTTAAAAAATGTGTATGGCTTGGATATGATATACTTGGCCTTGGCCCAGTATACCTGAAGGAGCGTCTCCACCCCCATCGTTCTGCCTGGACACTGAGTTCCCTCACTGCGAGAAGCAAAGCTACAGGGAACCAGGCAGAGGGCCTTCTCGGTAGTGGCACCCACCCTGTGGAATGCCCTCCCATCAGATGTCAAAGAGATAAACAACTACCTGACATTTAGAAGACATCTGAAGGCAGCCCTGTTTAGGGAAGTTTTTAATGTGTGATATTTTAATTTATTTTTAATCTTTGTTGGAAGCCGCCCAGAGTGGCTGGGGAAACCCAGCCAGTTGGGCGGGGTACAAATAATACATTATTATTATTATTATTATTATTATTATTATTATTATTATATCTTTGAAAAGGAAAAGTGTATTTATCATTGTAAACTCTTAATACTGTGGTGGTTTGTTTGCAGTGGTTAGAGTTGGGGTAATCATTGTGGAACCTTCCAGATCTAGTTGAGATCCACTTGGAACCAAAAAGATCCTTTATGGAGGAGCAATCCATCACTGAGTGGTGTCAGCATCGCCCTTGAGCCAGTGCCACCAACTGGACTCATACACTTCAGCCCCGACTGGGCTAGGCGAGCTGGGTAGCACTGCCAGAGACCACCTTCAGGACAGGAACAGGTCAAAGTGCTGTGGACTCACAGCTTAGAGTTGTGAGCACCGGATTCACTCCCACAAGAAGACAGTCGTCGCACAGCAGAGTACAGCAGAGTCTAGCAGAGTATATAAACAACTCGGAGAGCAGCTCTGTAGAATATCTTCTTTATTCTATAACTACAACTATAATGCAACTATATACAGAGCTTAATGGGTTCTCTAAGCATAAAGAATGCTACACTACACTGAGTGTCTGCAGCTGCTCTTAGCAGCAACCTTATCTCTACACACGATCTGTAACACTCAGTCTCTCTCTCTCTCTCCCCCCACACTGACTGACTGACTGACTCTTTGACGGAGTAGAATAAGTAGTTAGCAGAACACGCCTCCTCCTCTCTGGAGAATCAGCAGACTCCTCAGGAGATTCTTGGATATGGGAGGGGTGAAATCTCAGGGGGCCACCACAGAGAAGACTCAGTGCAACTTATAAAGAGCAGGCTTACTCAAGGTGACTGGACTACAACTCCCATCATCCCTGGGGGCTGATGGGAGTTGAAGCTGCAACACCTGGAGGGGACTGGGCCTGCTGCCACCCCTGCGTTAGACTATATTACTATTATTATGATGAGTCTCTGTAGGGCTCCCTCAGAGTGCACTGTCAAGGCTGTGTCATCGGCAAACAACGCCTCTCAGATAAGGACCGGGACGCTTTCCTTTTGGTGCAGAGATGTGCCAAATTGAACAAACCCCAGTCGCTTTCTTGAATGGATGTGACTGGAAACAGACAGTGAGGTTGTGTCTCCATAACGGTGACTAGAGGAGGAATGGCTGGTGGGAGGAGTGCGGAGAGAAGAAATGTTGCAGTGCTTCTGCAGCAGCACAACTGGACGCCTTCCTCTGCCCCAGCTGCAACAAAACATGTCTATCCCCTATCAGTCTCTACAGCCACAGCTGGATGCCAAGAATATTATTATTATTATTATTATTATTATTATTATTATTATTATTATTATTATTAATTTATTTATACTGCACCTTCTTCCCTGGCAGCTTACAGACAATAAATAACAATTTTATTATTTGTACCCTACCCTTCTGACTGGGTTGCCCCAGCCAGTCTGGGCTGCTTCTGATGTATATAAAAACATAATACACTGGTACCTTGGTTTACAACCATAATCCGTTCCGGAGGTCCGTTTGTAAACCAAAACAGGTTGTAACCCAATGGGACCTCAAAAAAAATTGTTTGTAATTAAAAAAAGGGGGGGGTTGTAATCCAAAAAAAGTTGCAAACCGGGACACGCACTTCTGGGTTTGACATGTTTGTAATCCAAAACGTACGCAAACCAAGAGGTATGCAAACCAAGGTACCACTCTAAAACA